TATTTCTGTCATTATACAAAAATCCATTGAATTTCCTCTAATTTTCTTTTCTGCAATTGAAAATCAGATTTTTATTGGATATTCCAATGAAATTTTTGTTTCTAACTAAAAATTTCCAGAGTAATTCCCCAATAATCCAAAAAAGGATTGAATTAGTCTGAAGTTTCGCCGACTATTTATGTTCAGTGAATGAAATGCACTCAGAATGTTCCAATTTTCTCAATTTCAGCCCTCGATCCTCGTGGGATGCTGAACACCTCGTGACAACACTATACGCAAGAATAACAAAATGATATAGGGTAACGAGTACTCAGTCTATTACTCGAGAAAGCGAGAAGACATCTAAGAAAATATTTCTCCAGCAAAAGAGACGACGAAAATTTCCTCCCAACACCTCCCCAAATCAACACTCACCATCTGTATAATCATTTTATTAAAATCATGTTCAATTATCATCTACCCGTGTATGTACAAGTTCTCGGAATGATTATAAAATTAAGTACCGTTATTATAAAAAATTAATCTCTCGTACGAATTATTGTTCCATGGGCTCAACATTAAAGTACATTCTCACAAATAAAATTTGTGTAGCCACTCACTGGGTGAATTGTTTCACCAATGGCACTTGAAAATTCAACAAGAAACTCAATTTATCCCCCAAATATTTAAAACCACAAGAATCCCCAGGAAAAAATCATTCGAGTGACAAATTCATCGCACAAGAATTAGCCATTAAATTTTTATCGCGAATAAAAAATAATTTTAATCCACAAATAAAAAATATCTCGAATGATTTTTTCCCTCAAAAGAATATCCGTGGCTCTTTTGCTCTTATTTAATATATCATATTAAATATATTCAGTACATATCTATTAATTCGCTTATAAAATCGTAAAGAATACGAATCGAAATCTTATTTTCAATAAATCGAGTATAATTCAAGTTCGATGTTTAAAATATTGAATTCCTTGAGATTCGATGGACATCCGCCATTTACGTATACAATTCAGCGAGGTATAACTCGATGCAAAACCCCCAATGAGAATATATCCCCAATGTACCATCAATATTACGAAAAAATATTAATATACTCCAATAATCGAATGATTCCAAGGCGTTTGCATTGAGCCATGATATATCGTTAAATAAATTAAGTGTAAATCTATCGGACGTTAAAACTCATCCGTCGCGTGATATTAAATATATATATATCAATATTTGGCTCTACTTATCCATAAACTCTACGAGTACTAGATATTCTGTACAGCTCGATTAATCGAACCTGTAATTAACGACCAGTTGATTAAAAATTCATTAGAACAATTCAATTCAATGACTGAAACACTTTGAATACTGAGAACAATTAATATTATCAATTGTCGATATTTGTTCGATCGAGTGGATTAAAAAATTCAATGGGTTTCAATAAATAAAGTGATTGACATGATTAGATCAAAATTGTACGATAATTGATGGAAACATCAGTAGAATAAACTCGTTGAATAATGAAAAATCGAATTTGTTGATTGAAAAGAAAAAAGTTAAACGATTAAAGATCAGTGACTGGCCCCATGAGACTGATACTATTGAGCGCAGATTCCCGTGAATAATTATGAAAATCATCATCTTCCTGATGCTCGTCACTCTCGTCCCCTACCCCATCGTGGCATTTCGACGAATCCAAACATCCAACAAGATCCCTGATATCAGCTGAAGTCTCCTCGTACCTCGTGCCACTCATCATTTTATGCAAGATGTCCACCAGTTTCTCCAGTCTGATAAATCACGTTTCCGGTTACGTTCTTTCCGTCTCCACGTCTAACCGATCGAAAGAAACGTTTTAAAGATATTCTTTAAAAGCAGGCTAAGCGGATAGTTCAGGGCAAAGCCATGCTGCCAACTAGATAACAGAGAGAGTGTAGAAGAATTCGATTCACTCCTCTCGTGAATCCTTGAATCGGAGAGAAAACGAAATTCAATGTGAGTGACGCAGACCATTTTTAATGAAGAATTCATGTACGTCAAGCTTGCAACTGAATTTTCCTCAAGATTAAAATTCACAGGAAATATTCCTTTCAATTTCTTCAAGAGCCCAACGTTTCGTAAAAAGAACTGATGGCTAAATCAGTCCCGAAGAATCATTGAGTCAATTAAATAAATTTCCAAGACGAATTTATCCTGCGAATTTTCCTCCATCAAAAGAACACAAAACTACAAAACGAAACAGTTAAGACTCCACATTCCCCACGTGTCCTCAGGTGCCCCAAAAAGCAATAGGAAAGGGATCAAGTGTAAAATGTCTGTGAAAAGCTGAAGCAGATGACGTCAATCTACCCCTAAAATCATGCACGAGCCCTGAGCACCGGGAAAATCCCTACGAGATAAAGAAAAACAAATCCCAAAGCCCTGAAGAAGCTCCAACAACCGGTGATGGCGATAAAAAAAAATACATGACGTCCCCGTACGTAACCTAGATGTAGGCTGTGGTGTAAGTGGCGCGTGAAGGTGCTGTCAGGACTCTGGAGGTCAGGATTCTCGTCGAGCACAGGTCTTTAGGTACCAGGGTTTCTCCAGTGACGAAAACAACATCTGGAATATCACTGATTCCTCTCTTGCGTCTTGACTTGCTGTTGCCGTTGGTTTTATCAGGTTCCGACTCTGAGGATGAGCAGTTGAATCTGTGCCTGAAGCCCTTGGACCTGTCCTCCCTCCACTTCATTTGAGATGTGTCATGTGGGAGTGTCTCCTCCCTCTGGAGATGATAATTTATCAGTCTCTCCAGAGCTTCTCTCTCATCAGGCTCCAGCGACTTCATCGAACCCTTTCTCGATGCAATATCATCTCTTGATGTATCATCGAGTGAGTTTGTATCTCTCTGTCCCTGCCACTGCCAATTTGTCTCCTCAGAGGGAATTCTCGACGAGTTGGAGAGGGATAGGGAGCTCGATGGGGATGAGGACGAGGATTGGATATCGGCACGCACGGGGGTGCTCGTTATACAGGAATTATCGAATGTTACTGGCGTTATTGGTGTCATTATTGTCTCGTTTACGCACTTTGTTGAGTAATTCTCAGCCACATGACGTGACGATCTTGCCTCTTGAAGTTCACGACGCAGTGCTAGGGTTTCTTCCTCGAAGGCTGCTATCTCACGACCCTCATTGCTGATATCGAAAGCCAAATTTTATTCAAAGCCACCGTTACCAAGGGAATATCATCCACAGAGAAGAAAATATTGATATTTCATAAAAATTTTGTCATTCAATCCTAGGATAATACCCGTGGCGAATTGCTTAATTCTCCAAAAGTGTTCAGTCATTTTTTTCTCTGTGAATTCACTTCTAGAAGCTCTTGCTAATTACAGGACAGGATGTGAAGGTGCAAGCTTTCATGGAGACGGATATCAACGGAAAGAAAGGCGAACAAAAAATCGTGAAGATGTGGAAAGATTCAGAGGAAATTGACAGATTGACAAATAAAAATGAAAGGAACGACGAATGGAAGACGAAACCAGTAGCTAAATGATAAAACAACATGAGGCAAATTGAGATGTTATAAATATCGATTTATCTCAGAAAGTATTGATTTCAGATAAAAATATCAAGAGACAATTTTTGTCGGAAATTTAATCCACTACAAAAAAGTCCTCTCAAATTTCCACATACAATCGATATTTCTCGAGATAAATCGATAATTAAAATACATACATTCGACTCATTTCCCTCCATTATTTCGCTACTCAAATCCACACGAATTTGTTTAACAACAACTATTTACAAATACTTACTTCGCATTAATACTGAGCCTAGCGACATCCTCTTCGAGTTTAGCGATTCGTTTATCGCCATTCGATTTATCCTCAGTGATTTTAGCGAGACACTCCTGCATGTGAGAACGACGAGGAAACAAAAAAACAAAATTCATGAAAGAGAATAATTAATAATTTGCATTCGGTGTTGTGGCGTGGATAGGATTGAGAAGAATGTTATGTTCAATTAGGAAATTAACGGAGGAGGACGACGGCCATTGCTACGGTTGATGAGGCTAATGGAAGAAGTGAAATTCGAGAAGACAAGAGGAAAGAGGTCGAGCTGACAGCCGCTAAGTGCCTCAAAATCCAATGGGCTCCCCTCGTTCTGTTCCCATGGCAAATGCTCCCCAATGTGAAACCTAATCACACCAAGTGCCTACACCGCTACACCTATTCTCTACGAAGTTTACCTACACGCCCCTATCCATCCTGAATCAGATCAAACGTGTGGGCTTTCCTAATCCATCGTATCAGAGTTATATAAGTCATCGTATCTCAATTATTCTAGCGTCAGAATTGTCAACCATCAGATTTCTCTCCTCTCCCAACAATCATTTCAATTTGATAATTGAAATATATAAATAATTTCCATAATTGAAAAAAAAACTCTCATTTGTATTAATTACTCCCCCCCAATAATTGGTGATTAATTAATTAATAGATAAATATAAAAAAATGAAGTGCAGCAAGTCGATTCGCAACTGAATAATTGTTCCCTAAATATCTACCAATCAAAAAGAGATAGCGAAATTTTTGTTAATACCTTTTTCGCAGCTTTCATTGTGCTCTACAAAAAAGATTATAATAAAAAAATCGGTATTTTGATTGGATTTAAAGATATTTGTGGAAAATCCGTGAACGAAAAAATTCGACTTATTACCCTTCATTTTCGCGGACTTCATTTTCTCGGGGGATTGAGTACCGAATTGTTTGGCGGTATTGACACGTTCAATATATTAAAATGACTCTGGCAAGTTTGTTTGATCGATGACGGAGTTTATCGATGTCACAGTGCCGCGAGAAATACACTGTGCAAATAAAACCGAGACACGTCCTCGGAATTCACTGGAAAATCTAAGAACCGAGGAGGGAATTCATTATCGTCTCTACCGTTTGTACAATGTCAGTTATATTCTGCATTCGAAGGTGGCCGACTATACCCGTGAAATTCATCAGTAATTCGGCTCACGGAGATTTACGTCGCACTGTAATTCCTGTGCAAACGAGCATCCTCCAGATGTTAACGAGTGAAAACTTAATATTTTCTTCTCAACTGAGTTGAATCAACGAGTTTGCATGCCTCCACAGTAATTCATAATCATTAAAATGATGTTTAAAAATGTCACGTAGTAAAAAAAACCTTGTCCCCGTTTCGCTTTCCCCGAATTGGTAATTTTAATCGTCTCTAATGGTTTTTAATTGTTTAAAAAACGTCCAAGTGATTCTAAATAATGGAAAAAAGAAATCAGAAAGATTTCTCTCGCATTTAAAATGATTTGAAAGGAACCCGAAGCCCTAGAGAAATATAAAGGGATCACCTGGTCCCAGTCCTGATCAAACAGCTGTGAAAAATTCTGAGTAAACACTTTCATTCACCTCAAGTACCCCCCCGGAAAACCCGGAAAAACTCACACAGAAAGGCCGCTTTGTTTTCTATTCCCACACCACCCAGATTTTTCTTTAAAATAGCCGCCTCTCTGGGATACAAGGAATATTGCGAGGAGTTGGCTGTCCTCGAGGACGTGATTAGGATTTCATTCGTAATCGAATGTAGACATGACATTGAATGTTGCAGAGGATCAGGTTATGGATCGTGTTGAATTGTTCGTGAATGAAATATTAATGTAGCTTACCTTGACCTCCTCCAGCTCCATCAGCCTTTGATTATTCTTCTCCTCGATTATCGCTGATATTCTGGCGTTCATGGTCTCCTCCAGAATTTTATTCGCCTGTCTCATCTCACCAATGATGTCTGCAATGAAAAATTTAATTTACTCATGGGCTGGGATAATTTACTGAAAGGTGAGAGGTGGCGGTCATTACCTGATAGCATTCCTGGCTGATAATCCAGTGAATTTTGCTGCGTCACCCTGGACAACTCGGCTTTCACGTTCTCCAGGGCGAGCTTTGTCTCGTGAAGCTCTTTGAACATTTGGCTATTCGATTCTCTTAGACTTGTCATCTGTAACATAAAAAACAACCTGACCAATTAATTTTCGTTTTTTTTCTAACCTGTCGAGTACTTCGGGAATATCTCGACAACTAACGGAGATGTCGAATATATCGTGGGAGGCTTTTTCGAAGCTTTCGATTAGCTCTGCAAAAAAGCTCTTATATAAATTTTTCTATCTCTCTTAGTGTCGGAGCTTTTTCCAAAATAATGAGGTTAGGGTGAAAACAATTGACTCCTTCTGCCATTTTGTCACATAATTATTAATTAAATTAGAGATTATCAGTGAAGACTTTAATTACCTGTTCAACTAGAGAAAGCACAAGTTTGTTGTTCTTTCCAACAGTAATGATTGAGCTTCCACTCTCCCCACTGTCTGATTCTTCACTCCTGCAGTTCTCAAGCTCAGGAGGTCCCAACCCCGGATCAGAGTATCTTCTGTGCTCAGAGCTCATCTCCTCCACCTGCTCTCGCACCTCATTATTGGCAGTGGGTGGCAGAGAGGTATAATCTCCATTCTGATAGAGATGAGGTGTCATATAGGTCGTTCTGTTCTCCTGGAGGCTGGAGTAGCCATTCACAACCCCATGGAGATTCGGATGATGCTGGATATTCCGTCGACCCCGTCCCCTGAAGGGCCTGTAGTTGGGTTGAGGCACAGGCCTGTACAGAGGGTACATGGGTGGCATGGAGATGGGCTCCATGGCATAGGCCATTGGTACAGCTGAATATCTACAGACACTTGGGTCAGACATTGCTGTGAAGAGTCTCTGGCCATTGTGGGGCTGCATGTGAGGGGGAATAGCTCCTGGCTGTTGCCAGAACATTCCACTGTAGTCCAGGGGTGGAACTGATGCCTCTGAACCATCATTTCGGTCTTCAGAGCACCAAGTGTCTGTTATAGGCGTCTGAGGCTTTTTGTTCGTTCGTTTTTTACTTTTTCTGGAGAGGCCAGAGGGCCTTTCTAGTCTTCCCAGCTTCATCTGCTCAGATCTAGAAATTTTCAGGTTTTGTTAATAAAAATAAAAAATATGAGAACTCATTAATTTTATTCCCAGATATAGATATGGCAGTGGGGCTCGAGGAGATGTAAAAATAAATAAAAGCAGAGTTTAATTGATTGTTATGTAATGTTAGGATGATAATGACCATTATTGATTCATTATCAATTGTTTATCAATGCTCTCCAACCGTGTAATCGATATTCACTGGATAGAGTCGTATTACGAAGGTCGAACCAACGGCATTCCCCGGGGTTCACCAAACCCCCCCGGAAATCCGTTAATACAAGCAATAAAAATCGAGAACTCCAAGATGTTTGTTGATTTCCACTCATCCCTTCAAAAACCCCCTCAATACTCTCAAACAAATGACGAACGCATAAAATTCTGCCTCGAAATTCCTCGTGCCTCCAATTATACGATAAAAATCATTACTCCATCATTACAATTTAGCTGCCAAAACTATTAAATCAATCCCGATAATTTCCTAATCTCTAAAAAATTTTGGAGCAGTGACACCCAAAAAAAATAACACCTCGTGACTCACCTGTCGTTCATGATCGACCGCCGATGGCAAACTGACACCCAAAGGCACTTCCTCCAAGTCACTATAGCCGCCAATTACTATCGGTACGTGAAAATAATACAATAACGAGACATGAGGCTGTCTGTTAACTTTGACCTAGGTAAAAACGTCAGAAGTGATCGAACGCCGCCATTGTTATGAACAAAATGACTCCCCAGAGGGGGAGGGGATGACCGTGACTTAAAAATTCCGTGCCATTACGAGGGGCATGTGATTAGAATTACATTGTGGCTTGAAATTACGGGAATAATAGTTTTATGCGTTTGCAGTAATTTTATGTGATTATTCAGCAGTTTGTGCGTCCGCTGCGCGGCAACTCCTCCACAAGATGGCGGACATTTTTCTTTTGTTTTAGAATTTTTAGGAATTTTAGGCGGAATCAGGGGGTTGTGGGGAGTTAGAGAGATTATTTGGAGGTTTAGATGACGTTGTTTGGAATTATTTTGGTTTATTAAGGGCGGGAGACGGAATTTTTCGGGAATTTTAAGGAAACGACGCGACGCACGTCCGGCCCGGGCGTCAGTCCGGCTCGGAGTAACTCGGTAGCGCTCGGACCGCACGAGCCTAGCGGTGCGCGGGGGACTGCGTGGGGGAATGCGCGGCGGACTGCGTGGGGGACTGCGTAGTGGACTGAGTGGGGGACTGCGCGTGGGACTGCGCGTCACCATTTTACACGGCAGTTTCAAACGGAAATGTGTGATAGTTGAATCGTTGATTATTTCATTTGTTTAGAGAAATTTTGTCTGGACTGTATTAATTTATGAATTTTTAAGGAAATGTCATGAAAGTCGGAAGTCACGGTTCCAACCCAGGGAATTCGAACAGTGGGGGGCTTTTTACGAGTAAAATGGCGGATATTTGGGATGCGTTGGAGAGTTTGAATTTGGAAATTAGGGAGCGCTAGACACCTGGAGATAACTAACCTATCAGCTGTCATTGGTTTTTGTTCTTCAGTGTTCGATGACATCGCAGCGTACTTTGACCAATTCATGATTATTCACGAATACCTGGAGTTTAAAGTGTAACGCGCAGTTTTGGGATCGTCTGGTTTTGCTCTTGAAGATGGGGAATAAGTCGAGTCTACTCCTGAGGGAGGAGGAGATAGCGCAGATCCAGGAGGCGACCGGCTGTGAGTATCAAGCTCAAATTGAAGATTTTTGTGTTTGAAATTACCTCAGAACTGTCAGGGGTTGTATTTCTCCATCTTGCGTGGTTCAATCCAAATTCAGACGATTTTTTATAGTCAAAAATATATTTTTGAGTAATTGTCGTATTTTGAATAATTGTGATATTTAATAGGGAATAAGTTATTTTAATTAGACAAGTACTTGCAGTCACACCAAATCAGATAGAAAGACTCTACAGCCGATTCACTAGTCTGGATCGAGGTGACTGTGGTACACTGTCTAGAGAGGATTTCCTCAGGATACCAGAATTAGCGATAAATCCACTCGGTGAGAGAATCGTCAATGCCTTCTTCGAGGAGAGTGGGAACGATCGGGTGAACTTTCTACAATTTATGCAGGTGTTGGCGCTCTTCAGGCCTATCAAGAAGAACAGCACCAACAGACTCAACTCGAGACAGGAAAAATTACGATGTGAGCTGAGGAGAAAGTTCTCTGAAAGTCCAGTCATAAGTTTATTCATCTGTTTTTATTTGCAGTTGCTTTTAAGATGTACGATTTGGATAACGATGATATGATATCGAAGGACGAGTTGATGGCCATTTTACATATGATGGTTGGTGCTAACATAAGGTAAAATATTATTTCTGGAATATCTAAAATATCTCAGTATCGAAGATCTCCAGAAAAAAATGTATGGGACGTTTTTTGTAGGGAACTTTATGAGCTGCAAAAAAGTTATTTAATATTTTTTTGTGAAACCCCTCGTTATCGAGATATTCACAATTAGAGGCAGTTCATCTGGAATTTTTTCTTTTAATTATTCATTAATTTAATTGGATTGTTAATTAGTGAGGAGCAGCTCTCGAGTATCGTAGAACGTACGATCCTGGAAGCTGACGAGAATGGAGACAACATGATATCCTTCGAGGAATTCTGCAAAGTCCTGGAGCGAACGGACGTCGAGCAAAAAATGTCCATACGTTTTCTTAGCTAGATTCAATTATAAATGTAACTTAGAAAATAGCGAGTAGGCTGGATATTTGTAAATAGACCTTTAATTGTTTATATCCCTCCAACAATAGCTAAGCCGATGCCATAACAGCCTTCAGCCACAATTTACAATTACAATGATTAATTTATTGAAAAAAAAAAACAAAAACAAATTGGAAACGTGAGTGAACATGTATTGAGTAATAAAAAAAGAATAACCAGTTTGGAAATATTGGATTTAATTACTAGTACTTGCGTTTACACCTTGGAAATGTGTCAGGCAGACATGACGATAAAAAACGGAAATGTGCCCACTTAAACACCGAATGCACGAGACAAAATTTCTTTACATATACATACTCGAATATATCATATAAAAGAAACAAGGAAATCAGGACAATTAGCATTTACAATTATTTAATTAATTCTGTGAATCGTTAGTTTTAGTTTATTCATTTTTTAACTATCCTATAGCTCAGGCAGTTGAGGACACAGCCAATTTCTTCAGGTGTTCCATAAATACTTGAAGACTTACATCGTCTGTCAACACAGGAGCTCCGCCCTCCTAAAAATCAACAAATTATTATTAAAAAAGAAAAAAAAACCACGAGAAGAAGATGAGAATAGGAAATAAATAGAATATCTCGTTAAAGACTGAACGATCTTTCAAGATAAATTAATTATTAACAATGTAGTAAAAATTACTCTTGAGAAAATTGATAAACTCATTTGTTTTGTTATAAATTAAATATTAGAGTAAATAGTTCTGTGGAGGAAAGATGCGTCGATGATCGTGAGGATTAGTAATGATTAGTAATTGATGGATGGCAGTAGAAGCTTTTTGTAATTGCCCTCAAGCCCCTCTGATGTTTTTGCAAACAATTGATTTTAAAAAAAACAACTAAAAAAACACACCGCACTGGGCATCGGCATCTGGTTGCACAGGATCGTGATGAAAAAAAAATGCATTCATTAAAAAAATAGAAAAATAAAGAGCAAAGTGAATTGCATTCACATTCGCATGTCAATGACGTGATGATTATTCATTCTCGAGTCAATAATTATTAATTACATTAAAAAGATGATAAAAATGCAATGTAATCCATGAAATTTAACAAAGAAATGCTGGAAATCTGTCGAAGTAAAACGAGGTACCGCTGATTTCCCATGAGTTTTTCGGGAATATCTCCGAAACCGAGGGAGATATCGATATTTTAGTTGAAATCTTTTTTGCAGAATTAATTGAGACCCACGAAAATGGTTCTCACAAAAACTTCGCTATCTACATTATTTTTAGAGATATTACCAGAAAACTGGAAAAGAATTTCCCTCGGGCTTTGATATTAAAATAAATTGGAGAAAAGTACTTACCGCTCCATAGGCGTACATATTGTTGTGCGTCTGGCTTGGATTGACCTTGCTCAGCAAGAATCTGGCCTGTGACCCCCCTTGCTCTGTATCAATATACCTCGGTGCAGGGAATCTCCCTGCGAGTATCTCAGCTGCATCATCGACAGGAGCAGCAAGCAGCTGTTTAAAATTCTCATACTCAGGTAAATCTTGATACTTAAGCTGCCGCCATTGGGCGATAGTCTCCCCATGGAATATAAGAATCTGGAAGAACGTATCCATGAGTAGAATCCTGTCAGGCTGAATGCTGGAGGTGTCCAGGAGGACAGGCTCTGGTGGTCCTCCAAACCCATAACTGTAAAGAATAGGTTGAACCATGATGAGAGAATTAGTCAAGTCCTCTCTCATGAGCATGTGCCTGTAGAAGCTCGTCTCGTCCGGGGAATTATTGAAGACCTGGAGGAACTGCGATCTCCTCAAGTGATACATAAACTGAGGATAGAGTGAGAAATTTTCAGCAAGTCTGAAGCTGTTGGGATCGTCCTTCGAATACTCTCCAAATTTCTGGCACAGTCTTATGAGCATTCTATCTACCCAACGGAGTACATCATTCCCATCATCTCCCTCAGCCCTGAATACAGCCAACCTGGACATCAAGACGGCTGCAGCCTCCTGATCAAATCCAGCAGAGATATGATGAAGAGAGGTGGAGGCATCGGCCCAATTTCTAGCAACCGTTGTCACTCGAATTCTCCTCTGTCCACTGCTGTGTTGATACTGTGTAATAAACTGAATGCAGCCCCTGCCACCCTGGGGAATTGGTGCTGCATGTTGATTAACAACCTCGAAGAATAATGCTGTTGTTGTCGAGGGATTTAACGAGCAGAATTTCCACTGGCACGTGCCACCAAGACCTACCTCCTGTTCACCGACACTGGGGCCCTTCACTCCGAGGGATACACATGGCCCAATAGCCCCAGAGACCTTGAGCTCCCTGGAGGTCTTGATCTCCAGAGTGGCATTGAAGGCCATCTTCAGATCGCCCTTCTGGTCCTTGGAGAAGACCCTTTGGAACGTCTGCTTGAACAACGAGGAATTGAAAGAGTCTCCCATAACCATGTGCCCCCCAGTGGAGTTGCAGCACATTCTCATCTCGAGGAGGCCGGTTTGATCGAGAGCACAGGAGTAGATATCGATAATGTGGCCATTGGCAGCGGCTCGAGCTGCAAGACTGTCGTAATGCTTAGTGGCTTTCTTCATGTGCTTGGCATTGTCCTTGTGGATATCGTGGTGAGACCTGATGGGTTGACGGAGCTCATCTGTAACGACTTGTCCGGGACCCTGAGAACAGGGTCCACCAACAAAGAGCATGATCCTGGCACCGGTATTGGCGTAGCTCGCCTCGAGGAGGCCTGTAGCTACTGCCAATGCAACTCCAGTTGATCTCAGAGGCCTTTTGCCAACGCCCACAGGCCAGGGGTCTCTCTGGAGCTCTCCCAGAAGATCAGTTAGACTCATATCGCACTTATGAACAGGCTGGAGGAATCTGTTCGCTGGGGGCAGGGGCTGGACGTTGGGATTCCTCTGTAGATTGGCGTTTTGACCTGGAACTGGACGACCTATTCCCAGCATATCCTGGACTTGCTTAGGCTGCAGGTCCTTCGTTCCTCGGAAAACGTAGCTCTTGCTACAGCCCTCACACCCCAATTCATGCACCTGCACCATTTTTCCGAATGTTATCAAACCGATTAGAGCACTTGGTGGTAGCAGGGAGAGGGACATCTGGAGGGAGTCCTTGAGCGCTCCTAATTCCTCCTCATCGAGACAGGTATCCACTACGAGTAGGAAGATTGGTGGAAGGCACTGGGCCCTCGTGATGGTGTACTCGATCGTCGAGAACATGGGGATGAGCTCTGCTGGCTGGTGCTGTTCGCTGATTGCTGCATACTGCGGCGGAAAGGGATTCCTCTGGAAGCAGAAGTTGCAGACCCAGAGTTTCGCCCTGTAATCCACCTGGCAGAGAGGGTTTAGAATAGCTCTGCAGGTAGATCTGGTGCAGAGGACTGGATCGTACTGGATTGGGGGCAGATCAATCCGCTCCTTTATCGGTTGGTACAGTGTACCCAGGGGCACCACCAATCGAGTTGCTTCTACTCTCGACGAGGGCCAGACGTTCCAGGTGAATCTCACACCATCACGATCCTCATTTTGCTGGATGAAGTCCTCGTAGGTCGTCATCCTGAGGGAATGATAGATTTTTGGTAGAACGAAGCGGTTTTTCGAGAATATCTTCTCAACTAAGCGAGATGGCGAAATTCTTGTAGGAGACTTTTTTGTAGAGCTAATTGAGAGTTACGGAAAAGGTTTTCACGAAAACTTTGCTATCTCCCTTATGTTCGGAAATATTTCCAAAAAACTCATTGCAAACAAAATCGACTGCGCAGGTAATATTTTCATTTTTTTTTTCATCAAACTGTCCATGATATCTCGGAATCTATGGGAGACAGAGGATTATCTGTGATAACTTTTTTGTCGAGGAGATCAAGGCTTATAAAAATGCTCCTATTCAATTTTTTCCTATCTGCAGTGGATTTCGAGAAATCGACTAAAAACTGGAGCGTATGAAAATTCATTCACAGGATTTTTGTAATTCATTGTTTAATTGATCTTTTTGTTATTTTAATTGATTTTTCAGGCAGCATTGTTTCATATTGTAAAGCATTTGGAGGTTAAAATAGTGGACTCACTTTAATTCGTGATTTCAAGCACTGATGGTGAGTTATTTGACGATAACTATACACTAGACACTTTTGGAATTGACTGATGATAATTAAATCATTGTTTTACAATTTTTGTTGAGTTTTTGGAATCGAATGGAGAATGAATTCCCTGCAGCCGTCATCCGGGCCACGTCAGAGTCAAACTTTTTTAGTGGCGTGGCTGTCGATATCACGTGATTAAATATCGCGGGAAAAAAACGTAAAACAATCTTATTTTGAAATAATTTCATTTCCATAAACAAAAAAAAAATCACTTCAATGTCTTGTGATTGGAAACCCATCAAAAAATTCATTTATTTAAAACTTCAATAAGATTGACATCTTCTCCACAATTTAATAACAATAGGCTATCATATCCCTAAATAATTGATCTTACGTTGGAAGACATGCAATTTATTGAAAGATCGTTGTTCATTAAATACCTGTAAAATAACGAATAAATTAATTATAAAAAATATACTCCACTACCATCCGCCAGTCAAATACACCAGTTAAATAATAATAAATACGATTGTTGCCCCTGTGGTGTAATTCACATCCAGTAAATCTCTAAAACACTCATTCACGAGGAAACATCGAGATATTCGTGGTAATCTGTGAACTTGCGTTCTCAAATTTGAAAGACAGATAGTGATTGGACGATGAACATTACTTTTCTTATTAAAGTAGGATAACACCTCTGATATACTATACACAGTAATAACATTTATAAAATTCATTGTATCGCAGCAGTCTTTGTAACTCAGTAACCAAATTTAAACGTTGATATCCATGGAATTGTTTCGAGAATTTCCAGGGCGACAAAAAATTCTGATATTGTCCAGATCCACCCCAAATTAATTTATTTCTCCGGATATTTTTTAGTAACTCCTGGTCCCTCATTTATTAGGAGGGATTTAAATCAGAATCTTCCAATCGAATCTACTATTACTTGAATGAGTGATGGGTGGAAATGGTGGTGGATGCAGCTGCCATCCATCGATCTCCTCCTGTGCAGTGAGACAGGCGAGATATGGTACCCTCTGGACGAGTCTGGTGACCTCAGCAGCTGATGGAATTCTACCTCCAGTCAGTTGCCTGGTGCAGGCAGCGAGGGAAGCAGCGTGAGCAACAATTAGAATATTACCAACAGTGCTCTCGATGATTCTCTTGATGAGTTCATAACTCCTCTCGTAATACTGTGCAGCATTCTCCCTCTGAGGGAGTTGATCAGTTGTGACAATAGCCTCATAACTCCTATCGACATTGAATCCAGCATTGCTCAACTCTTCATTATTCATCCAGTTAGGTAAGCCATTAGGGTACCAGGCAAGCCACTCGATCAATCCAGGCTCCACCTTCATCTGGACACTAGACCCCAGACCTTTGAGAATTTTTGATAACGTCTGAACACATCGGAGTGATGGCGATGTGAAGGCCACATCGATCTTCACAGCTGACGACTTCATGGCTTCACCCACTAGACTTGCCTGCATCTCCCCCAGGGTCGTCAAGGGGCTGTCACTTTGAAATTCCTGAATATTTCTCGGTGGTATTTCTCTAGGCATGTTGAGATCGCGTCTGATGTAGCTGCCATTGGCCTCGAAGCAGTAAGGAATCCAGGCACCAAAGGTGAAGTCCACCCTCTCCCCGTGTCTGCAGATGTAAATCTGTCTGGCGTGGGTGGAGGGAGCTCCCAGTCCCTCCAGGGGTTCACTGTCAGTTCCAACACCATCAGGTGTGTCAATCGACTCCGAGGAAGACAGCACCGGGGGTTTTCTACTCCTGGGAATCTCTGGATCGTGATCACTACCTCCATTTATCTGAACAGTTGTGTGGAGTGTCCAGGAGTCAGTCTCTGCAGTCCTCTCGGTATAATTTAAGGGGAGATAACCTGATGTTCCAGTCAACCAGGACACACCCTCGACCCATCCATCGATCGAGGCACTGCATGCACCCTCTGACAGGTAAATGAAATCCCCAGGTCGTAATTCCAACTCATCGTGCTCCCTCGGGACGTGGGCATGAGTGACTTTGTGGACGTGAGCGTCTCGGAGTCGAGAGTCCCTGGAGTAGAGCCTCAGCTCCCAATTTGACGTGGAATTCATTCCCAATCTCTCCACCATCGATCTCAGGGGTTGAAAGAGATTACTGGTGAATCTATAAGCCAGGGATATGTGCAGAGAGTTGGTGTGGGCCTCGGCGTTGATCCCCAGGGTGGAGAGCTTGCTGACAAAGCGAACTGCTAGTGTATCCAGCCATTTCACCTGCTTGTCCTCCACAAATAGTCCCATGAAGTTCGGGGAGATGTACGTGTCGAAGTCCAGGGTCTCGGGGGATTCACCCTGGAGGAGAGTCTCCAGGGCGTTGGAGACTTGCTCTGCAGAGTCATCGGGGACCTTGAAGAAACGGGTTAAGGTGATGTGTGGGAGGTAGTTGTGGGCTTTGTTCCATTCTAACTCTCGGGACTCCACCCAGAATTTAGCGAGCTTCTCGGCGAGGAGTCCTGTCGGGCACAAGTACAGAATATACTCTCGGGGTTCTTCTGTGTCCAGAGTCGGATCTCGGACGTGCGCCAGGAGCCAGTCCGACGCCAGTTGTACTCCACGGTGACCTGTGGCTGCTAGGGCTTTTTCTCTGGAAGAAAAATTAATAAAATCATTCAAAAAGTGAAATAACTCGTCAGTCCTTAGATCAATCATCTCCAGGGAATCCCCAGTGCCCATTGATTATGATTATTGACAAAAACAGATGATTCAAATGAAATAAACACCGATATTAACTCATTATTAATAAATAATTTATTTAAAACCGAAGAAAAACGGAATGAACTTGAAATTTTATTTCCTCTCCTCAGGATTCTATACGTCTTCATGTTTACAAATGAATGATTGTAATAAAAATGGTAAATAAAAAAAACCAGAAGCAGAAGAAAAATGAGGATTACGAGATGAACTCCACCAGCTGTCATACCCCCAGTGTTCATCCACCCATAAACAAAACACTGGACAAAACGTGTTGACAATAATCCACCCAAAATATCTGTGACTCCAGAGAAAATAATGAGACTTACGCCCTGTGCCTTGGAAATCCAAGTTGGAGGAGTATCTGAAGTGGAGTTAAGTGTTCCTTCGATATTTTCGTTGGTGTTGGATTTTTTCTTGGAGGTAATGTCGCCATGGCGGCTTACATTGCTCCCATTTCACCGAAATTACCGAAGGTGCGGCTTTTGTTGAGGAAGAGGGACACTTTTGCCTCATCCAGGAGGTGGCAGCATAGTATTCTATTCCTTGTATCAGTGATAGTGAATGAATCCGTGAGTTGTTGAATTGTTGATGATTGTTGGACCAGTGGAACCATTGTTTTTGTTTTCAGAATTTGGTCATTTTTTTCCTGATAATTTAATTGTCTCGTCGTCTCAATCTTTTATGGAGTTAATTCAAGGGTAATTGGGGGGTGTTGGGGGGGTAAATTGACCCGTTAATTAAATATCTATTTTTTTCATTTTTAGTTCTCCAATACCTGCCACTTAACCCCACGTTAATCTCTTATTTTATTTCAATTAAACATTAAGTGCAATAAAAACTGCTGTCTGTCATTATTATGAATAATAATAACAATAATAATTATTTTCTTCTTTATTTATGTAGTATTTGCATATTTCCTTGAATTCTTTTTGGATTTACACAAATTCTGTCAAAATTTTCAGAATTTCTTAGAATTTTATTGAAGATGGAGATTCGTCATTGTTCTAGGTTTTCATCGAGAATATTTTATGAAAAATGAATCGTCTGCCAATGCACAATGCCCTGAAGCACCTAGGATGGCTGGAGGGCACCTGGAGGACGATATCCCCTGGAGAAGGCCAGTACCCGACCCTCAAAGGGTTCAGGTACGAGGAGGAGATCAGGTTCATCTCCATTGGCCAACCGATGTTCAATTATGAGAGCCAGACCTGGCATCCTGAGAAGAAGAACCCCATGCACCGGGAGGTGGGATTCCTCAGGGTTATCCCGGAGACTAATAAAGTTAAATTGATTTTGGCGCATAATTTCGGGGTGACGAGCATCGAGGAGGGGCACACGGAGGGGATGAATGTGATCCTGGAAAGCACTGGGGTCCAGAGGATGTCTGAGGGGACCAAGGATCCTCCTGTTGTCAAGGTGACGTCAATGGCCTTGAAATTCTTGCGGCCATTCGTTTATTTCTACGAGCATTCGTTTCGATTTTCGAATTTGTCGTGATTTTTTAGTCATCGGATTTTTAAAAGAGATTTATTTATTTTTTAGTTGAGGAGGGAATGGAAACTCGACGGAGAGACTCTAGAGCAAATAATCTACATGGCCACAACAACAACTCCAGATCTAACAGAACATCTTCGTGCCAAATACAGCAAAGTAATTACAGGGATTTAATTAATCAAAATTACTTTGTACTGAATAATTTTTCTGAGATATTCCTGTGATACATCGATTATTTGTTATTAAAACTGGATTTTTACTGCCTAAATAAATTCATGGCTTGCAGTATCACCTGATCATGAATATTTAAGGGTTTCCACCCCTGGACTCCACCCCAACGTGGTTCATCAAAAATTCTCTATATTTTTTCCTCAACACGCGAACACATGTCGTCCTAAATTACCACTAGGATTTTTACTCTCGTTTCAACGAAGGAATTTCAGAGTCCGGGATGGAGTTGTCTCATTATTTCTTGCGATTATCCAAGTTTGGAGTCGTAAAATGGGGAAAGGGGGTGAGTACAGCTGGTGTAGGTGGGAGCTGGGAGCTTCCGGTGAAGGGGGATTGGAAAACACCTGTATTGAGTCCAACCCCTAGCTGCAATACTCCGATTCCCCAGTGCGACAGTTGCTCACTGCCAAGTGAGTCGAAGGGGTCGTCGATTTCTATTTTATCCGTCAATACAAATTATTTACTCTCACTATCCAGTTGTGAATAAAACTGAAATCAGAATTTGATCCCGTAATTACAGGTAATTATCTTACAACTCCTTAATTATAATTTATAATTACAATCCGGAAATTAACGGGTTTATTCATTGAAATACGTCGGAAGATAGATAGCGATCCTAAATTTTTTGAATCGATACTAAATTGCATTTCGTTATTTTTTAGAAATATCTCTGTAAATAAATGAGATAGCAACTTACATGTGCAAACCTTTTTTGTAATGCAAAAGTAGCTCTACAAAAAAGGTTTAATTGAAAATTCAATTATCCCCCATACTTTCGGAGATATTTCCAAAAAGCTCACCTAAAAGTTGTGTCGATATATTTCTCTTCATCTCCGCGGGCGCTAAATATCAATAACCAAATAATAATTAATAATATAATAATAATGAATGAAATAATGAATATTTGGAATTATTGATACTCGGAAAAATTCATTCTTCAACCCTGAAATTCCCAAATAACCTAGGACTCGAATGGAGTTCAAATGAAACGAAAGAAAACCGAAAGATTCAGAATCGATGAAGAGAAAAATCTGACACCCAGGGAACTGTCAGCATGACACCCCTCTTCGACAGCCAGGATTACTACAAGAAGATGCTGGAGCTGCAGGAGAAGCTGCGCAAAAGGTGAGTAAATCCCTCAAAAAAAATCTCCGACTCCCCAAGACGCAGCACTAATTTTATTTTCACTTCCCCAGCGAAGAAGAGAGGATTCGCCTGGAGGAGCGTTTCAACCACCTGGAGCAGGAGTCTCGAACGAGGTGCGAATCACTCTAACCATTCGATAATTCATTAGGTTACCCTAAATCCGCAGTCATCTATTTCAACAACGCAGTGCCAGAAACATCGGCGACCTGATTTTCAGTCATCAAATCGATATTCCCCAGGAATTCATATCTCACTCGTAAATCATCTCCAATCGAAAAATCAATGGTGACGACAAGTACCGAATGCCTGGTACCGTTGTATCTATCTCAGGAACATTCAATGTCACGAGTAGCGTGTCTAGAGGAGTTTAGTCGATTAAACTTGCCCGATGAAACTCTGTCCTGAAAATTCACCTCCAACCACCCACATTCGATTCTCCAACACAGGAACGTCATTGGATCTTCGTTTATTGTTTGCAGGCACGAGGCATGCATAAATAAACTCAGAATGAGGTACATTGAGTTTCTGGAGGAGGAGAGACTGAGGGATGAGAGGAATACCAAATTACTGGGTGCATTGGACAGGGTTGACTCCAGTTTGGCCTTGATGAGTGCTAAGACTGATAAACTTCAGTCCTTAAGGGTAATTAAGCCCATTTACTCATCCAGAATTATTATCTCCATTTAAAAATTAATCTCTCCATTAATTCTCCTTCAACATCTGATTTTGTTTCTAAACTCGAGAGATTGAAATAAAATTTTATTCCTCCAGAAGGAGTACGAGGCCTCGATATTGCGAGCGAGTGGATCTCGTCGGACCCCAAGTATGGCAGGAGATTCTGGTATTCTAAGTCAGGGAGAAGATCGAAGACTCTTCAAGCCACATCTCACGCCTTCTCCATCGCTCTGTACTCTAGTGCCGCCACGAAGAACGCAGACCTATTCCAGGCCCCTCTCGTACCCTTCACGTCCCACCCTGGACTTCCATGAGCGTTTTCCCACGAAATCCCGAGACCTGAATGACACTTGGTGCCTGCCACGTCTCAAGCTCCCAGAGGAGCCCCTGAGAGCCCCTCGATATCTCCCTCAGAACTCCTCCCCCTTCCAGTACCCGGAAATCAGTCCCCTGAGACCCTCGAAAATGTCCTCCCTACTCATTCCCAAGCTGGAGGACGAGGAAACGGGAAATGCAGTGGAGAACGAGCTCGAGAGGTACATCAGCAAGATCAGGACACTCCATGGGGAGCAGGAGCAGAGCCAAGAGGATCACGAGCAGAACACCAGTGGAGATTTGTTGAACGTCACTCTCTCCGATGACGGCCTGGATCATTTACCCCAGGAGGAAAAGCAGAAGATTCCTGAGAGAATCGAGAAAGTCCTGGCTCTCGCCGAAGACCTGGCAGCTCAAGTCCCTCCAGAAATTCACGCAGACACCAATTTATCTGAAATTCAAGAAGAGAACTCCCCCCAGGAGGTAGAAACCACTAAATCCACTGAGGGAGAATCCCCAGAAAATATAGAACCCGACGTCCATGTCCCCCAGGAAGTCGAGGTTCAATCCCCCGTGATTTTATTAGAAACAGCAGAGAAAACTGATGATGGAATTGATGGAGGCGATGAAATAGAGGAATTGAAGCCCCTGGAGAGTCTCCAGGAGGTTCAGGACGTCGTGGAAATTCGGGAAGGAGTTCCCGGGGAGTCTGAAGATGCTGGGGACGTTGGAGGAGCTGAAGAGGCTCGGGGAAATAATATAGAGGAGTCTGGAGGCAGTCCAGAGGTAAAAGTCAGTGGAGAAGACGTAGGGCAGGAGAATTCGAAGGCAGAAGATGAAAAACCCCAGGAGCCGTACCAGGGAGATTATCAAGAGACTCCTGGGTACGACTACAATCAGGGAGAGAATTATCAGTACCCTGAAGGTTATCAATACAATTACGATGGGACTGGCCAGATGGAGGGGTACGCAGGGGAATACCAGGGGGAGAATTACAGTCCTGGGTATCAGGAGAGCTACCCCGAGGGGGAGAATCCTCAGTACTCACAGGGAAATTATGGAGAAGGGGCTGGAGAGTACCAGGAGGGCACCTATGAGGCAGATCCTAATGCACAGTACCAGGAGGGGAGTTATCCTCAGGAATATCAGGGCGAATATCCCACTGAGGGTCAGGGGTATGATCCTAGTTATGGATATTCTTATGGTCAGGGGTATCAGGGCTATCAGGAGACTCCTCAGGCTCCAGAACAGGTCCATGTGGAGGAGCCCAAGGTTGAGGACTCCAAGGAGGAATCCAGGGTCGAGGACACCAGGGAGATCGCCAAGAAAAAAAAGGATGTGATCAAGTCGATTTTGGAGTCGGAAACTGAAAGTAGCATTGAACGAAATACTGAGAACACTGAGAGTGATTTTGATTTTAATTAGTGAAACAGCGGATTTTACTCTTTCATTTTTCTCATTACTGAGATTTTAAAAAAATACACAATTACGTAATTATTAAGATGATCAATTGGTCGAGTTATTTTGAGAGGGTCACGTTGAAAATCGAAACATTTGTTTTTCGTGGAAAATTTTTGGGTTTATTAAAACCTTTGGGAGTTGCGATTTTTGATTAAAGTGTAATTATTCAATTAATAAATGAGAGTTTTAGTTGTAAATTTGAGAATTTCTTTGGGGGCAATTGTCAGGGGGTGGTGATCAGTTTTTGGGGTCGATCGTATGGATTTTCCACGGGCCTGCGCCAATGGTTCACCAGTTTCACTGAATTTTCCAGATGCACTTGCCAAATTATTCGTCCTCGTATCAGTTATCTATCAGACTCTGTAATCCTACGGTTTATTTCCACTGATTCATTATTTTCCTCGTAAACTCAGCTGACTCAACCGATTTAACACATATCGTTGGCAATTCCAGTTGAGTTTGCGCGTGTCGTTTCAGTATCGTTCGTCAAACCGAGGGATTCAGATGCTCTGGAGCAGCTCGTCCATTGATTCTTCATCTTCGATTATCGTTTTTCGTCGAGGCCTTCGGCTTTTGGGTGAATTTTTCCACGGGTTTCAGACGACTCACGGGAGGATTTCAGCACCAGGGGAACATCTACGACGCAGTCAAACTTCCTTGACACGTACAATTGTCCAGTGACTCTCAAGTGGAATTATCAGGGGCTCTCACACTCACCAGAATCAGCTGATATCAGTGTTGAGGTAGGCCAAAACATTTTTCAGTAGTACAATTTTATTTTTTGAAGGCGGAGAACAAGAGGATGAGTTCATGTGTAATTTGAATAAGAGGGAAATTCAAATTACAATTTCAGTAATAATTCCATGTAATTTCACAGTAAATATTCATGTTAAATTGAAAATTCAGATGAATTAAGGAATTCGTGTGGTTATGGCCCTTAAAATCCTGGAATTTTCAATAAAACCTCCACCTTTATTGATTTTATTTAAAATTTTGTTTAATGTGACTTCTGGAAATGAATTGCCAGCTGTGGAATTTGAATTTTTTATGACAGATGAGCGGTTTTAATTCAAGTCTGACGCACGTGTGTATTTTTGGAGAATGAATCATGAGTATTTTCGATTAGCTGCACTAATTGCTGAGTTTTCAGAAAATGTGAAATGTTGAATTTATCCCAGGAATTTATCCCAGTTCGCCAATTCACGCAGAATTATTTAAAGAGAGCCGATTCAATGGCCTGATGTTTTTTAATTGATTCTTTTTTTTTTAAAAGATAATATGGAGAGTCCAGTGGTGAATGGAACTCCAAAACCTAATGGAAATCAATTGTTTTACGAATTGGAGCATGAGAATGACGGGGACAGCTCGAATAATCCTGGGCAAACAGATCAACGTGATCGTGAGTATATCATTCAGAATATATTCTAGAATTGTATTTATTTAATTGTTACTGGAGGGGGAGATGAGGTGTCTGACCTCATCCACTGATAAATAGATTAATATGAATGAATTCGAAAACAAAAGTCTGTTGTCTTTCCAGTTGCTATCGATCTCAAGATATCTTCGTGGTACTCGTGTTTATCTCGACAACGTGACACGCGATGGTTTGTAAATAAACTATTTTCGGCACGCGAATAAATAAATAGATAGATCTAGGTAGTTTGCCACCTAAAACGTCAAAGTTGTCGTGAATGCGGGATTATCTCGTTAATGGATGGTTTTCGAGGAAAATGTTATTAACATTTTTTTTTGAGAATTTCTTGGACTCAAAAAAAATTCTTTTGACATTTTTCTGTACGATCCTTGGTTACTGAGGAAATCGAGGAATTTATGAGCGATCTGGAGTTATCGATACGAAAGTGCGATTGAAGCTGTAAAAATTGGGGGAATTCACTCGATTTATCGCAGACAATTTCGATATGGAATGGACTTCGAGGAGTCTGACTTCCCAAGTTTCAATTCGAGCTACAGAAGTTCTGGTAATTAATCCCTCCAATAAAAACTCATAAAATCATAATTAACGTTGATTGATGAAAAGTAATCAGTCGATTTTTCTCTTCCGCGAGTTTTTCACAGAAATCTCCAAACCTATCAAAGATAATGCTATCCATACCGGAACCTTTTTTATACTCTTAATTCAGGGCTACAAAAAAGGTCATTACAAAAAATTCAGTATTTCCATTAATTTCCCAGATATTCACGAAAAACTCAAGTAGCTATTCTAGTACCATAAGATTTATTTGTTAGGAATGTTTTATAAAAATAAATTAACTGTATTACATGAGGAAAATGGCTCTTCCGGTTGTTAGAACAGTCTGAATAACTCAGATCCCAGCCAAAAGTCCAAATAGAAAATTCGTGGACGTTACACGAATAGACTTGAGAATCGACTTCGTCTGAGAGACATTAAACTTCCCTGAGCTGTTGAATCAATACATTATTACAATTCTCTCTTGTTTAGTTACACTTACATGTTACTCCCAGTTACGAAATACCACAATTTTAGCACTGGTGCACTAAACAATCAGTTGTGAGACAGTCGAGACAGTCTCGTTGGATTTGCGTCGAGATCGTGTCCCGAATTATTTCCACAAATTCAAGACAACTCGTAGAATTATCGTGGAGTGATGCGATTTCTTTGAGTGAACTGTCGATTAATTACTTAATTCATTGTAAAATTACTCGGTACAGAGTGGGAGAGTTAATTGGAATAATTGAGTGAATTGTGACTGATTGAAATGTCGAGCAGAGGCGTGATGAGTGGAAATGATGGCTTCCACGTAATGCACCATCAACCCAATTTCTTAGTCTCAGATTATGATGAAGGTAGAAGTCTCATTTTATTCCTCTTTCAGTCAATCTAGAGTACAAATACCAATTTATCCCATCAAATCCCATCAAATCCCCAATTAATTCATTCATTTCCCCAGAATTTCTTTGAAAATATATTTTTTATAAAATTCGCAATCGTGAGTAATTATTGTTATCACTCGTACAACATGACTGTTGATAAATTCGTTATCACGATGAGTATAAATCGCGTGAATTCGGGAAGCTGAAGTAGTTGAATTGGTGTCGTGGAAACTCATGCGAATTATCGTCACGCAATCGTGAAGTGTAAAATCAGATTGGGGGGATGGATCTGTCCACAAAACACTGTGGTAATGACAATTAACCGAATATTCGAGAGGATTTATAAAAATAAAATCCCTAAAGCCTCTCAAAATTCAGTATCGAGTATTGATCGTTCGCTCGACGAACTTTTGCGTAAAACTTCTTGGTCTTCAGCCAGAGGCTCAAAAAATAAAAATCAAAAATTGGAGATAACAAAGTTTAATATGACCTAGTGAGCCCAGCGGTTTCTTTGTCAGTTCTATTCTTAGAATCTCTAGACAAGAATCGCTGATAAGAATATCTTAGCGACACGTGACAGAAACATGTGCTCAATCCCCGGTTTATCGTTCAGGGTGAGAATTAATAAATTGTTGTGCCTGTTTTACTCATCCTTTTGTTGGCTATTTTTGTTTGGTTCCGGAGTAAACAATTCCACTCGTCGGTTTATTTTTCCCGAGTCGTTATCACCCGGTGATTGGGCCAGGTGCCAAGAATATACGACAGGTTTTCTCGTGGAAACCGGTACTTCCAGTGGATAAATACCGAGCAGGATCTATTCACTGGTGAAATCACTGTGTCAAGAAATCGAATGCAATCCGATGAAATCCCAGGAAATTGCCTGGAATCGTTGAATTCCTGGAGTTTCATCTGGGAAATCATTTGAAATCATTTAAATCCTCTGAAATCTATAATCCTGAAATCGATTTAACTCAACGATTTAATCATGAATTAAAAAAAGCCTAGATTATCAAAATATTCGTTAATCCCAAATTTCTTTCGTATTTATTTTATTTCCGCAGTACTTATTACCTCCACTGCAGAATTAATGCCCCCAACGGTTTGTTATTCTCGCTCTCACAATTTTCCTCTTTGCACGCATTAAAACATTCTATTTTTACCCGCATGACTGCAATGGTAAACAATTTTCCAACGACTTCCTGTGGGAAAAATGTGGAAAGCAAACCGATGTCGATGATCTGACAAATCCAACGTAGATCGACTGATATTTGGGTCGTGGGAGTGCGCAGCGGCTGGAGACGAGAAAGTTCTTTCGGTTTAATTATCATTATGTCGAGAAATTAATTTCCCGTATGGAGGGGATTCTCATGTGGACATGGGGGTCACAACTCAATGCGTCTACCAGGCGCCTCAGTCTCTGCGTCACTTTCCTGACGTCAAAACCGTCAGGCGAATTGATTTCTGGAATTAAAAATCGACCCGAAAAATCCGGGAAATTTAATAAATCCCGAACAATTATTTTTGAGAGAATAAATTAGATCCAATTATATTTAATTTGCCTGATGACAGGAGTAATTGGAGCTTTTTGTGAATAAATATCTCGATTATTTTTGATTACGACTATCGATGCCTCGGCTTGAGAAATTTTCCACTGCGTAATCGAATAGTTCGAGTTACTCTGGAGAGTGATAAGGGAAAATTCTTGTGTCAGAAGTGATTGAACCTACGACATACGATTATTGTTGAGTTCTGGAATAATTTAATTGGGATTATGGATATGAATTTTGTTCTGAGGAATGAGAAAGATCTTCTCAATAATTTACCAGCTGTGTGTCTCAAAAGGGTGAATAAGGACAGGCAGAGGGTGATATCAGAGGGTAATTAGTTCATCGAGTAGCCAATTACTATAAAACCCGAAATTTTCCCGTCAATTACTAATTTTACTCTCGTAATTCAGTAAAAAGCTGGTAAACTAGAATAAGTGCATTTTTTTCGAAACCCTCATTACCCCAATATCTCGGTCCCGAAGCGAGATAGCGACATTTTTGTGAGTACATTTTTTGGAGAGAAAAATGAGAGCTATGAAAAAGGTGATTACGAAAATCACGCTATCTATCTCGAGCTCGAAGATATTCGCTAGAAACTGACGCTGGAAAACTGCAATTGTCCTAGTTTACCCCAGAATAGTGGATTCCTCAATGTGTGAGTTGTGAAAATCGTTGAAGAGCTGGAGTAACAAACTTAAATCGTTGACTTCAGGAAGTGAGAGCCCAGTTTTTGATGGAGCAAATGGAGCTGCTGGGAATTCAATGCGAATGGCACCATCAGAATTGCCGAATGAGATATCAGCACCTTACGAGGTCCCCCAGTTTCCCATAGAGCAAATTGAGAAGAAACTACTGATTCAGCGTCAACTCACCGTTAAGTAAGTGAATTGTTTGTAATATTTGTGTAAGGAAAAACCGAGATTATTTTCAATCGTGTCCTCATTTGCATTCTTTCGTTATTCTACAACTCATGTCCACACTTTTTCGTTATTTTTTCACAGCCTGCAGTGGCTCAGTGAACATTGTACGCAGTCCACTGACGATCAATAACTTACCACGAACTCAACCCACGCCTGTCGCTTTATTTCTTATCCCCAGCACCTCAGGTCACGCTAATCTGATAAATTCGCGAGTAATTTAATATTGGATGCTGCGATTTACGAATCACTGTCTCATCATTCTACTTTGTTTTCGTCGTAACTCGAGGAGAAGTGGTTTTACGTGAAAATTGTGAGGGAAAAGTTTGGAGATTATTTTTATATCTACAAAAAGTTTCTTATCACGTTTTCCTGTAAAACTGGCGATTCTCGAAGTAATTTACGATTACTGAAAATATGTAGTGGAGTCATTCGTAGAGAATTGGAGTTTTTGCTTTTTTGCATGAATTATCTTGGTTATCATTGGGTTTAGGAGGAAATGTTTAATAACTTTTCCTCTGGGAAATTTCATTCGCTACAAGTGGTTTTCTATAATATTTCCTCGCAAACCCGGTGGTTCTCGAGATAATCAGCAATTAGCAAAAATGAGTTAATGAATGGATTCTAAAAAATCTAATTCCGCGTTATCTGCATGTCGAATTATCCCGGTAACAGTTGGTTTTATGAAAAAATCTGAAAAGACATTTTTTATTGGAAGTCCCATTCTCTACAAAAAGTTCCAATGACATTTTTCCCTGGGACCCCTGACTATCGAGGTAACCGCGAAAAACTGAGATACTCCTCCATTTTCTATGAAACGGATCTCCCATCGAGCGTTCATCAACCAACGATTATTATCACGATATCAGATACCTCATGAAAATTTCATTTACCCTCTCCTCCTCTTAATTTCATTAACGTGACGCGCACATGTCCATTGCACGCGCATGAAGCCGTCGGTTCCTGGAGGAAATGCATTAGAGAGGGGATGGCAACCGGTGGGTGAAATTCAGTGTTTGGCCGACTGTTGAACGAGCAGGACGCCTCCGTCGGCTCAATAATTCAATTATTTAAAAAAAAAGTTCAATCATGCATGGATATTCCCGAAAAAACCCCATTAATCCATAACAAATCCAGAAAAAATCGTCTGAATCAAATCGTTGGAATGTAGTCACATCGCATTTCCAATAGTTTATTTAAAAAACTTAATTTATTGTCTATTATTTTTATTCCGAGGGCTCCAGTGACTTTTATTCCAGTGAAGAAGTGAAAATGTTCGCATATGCTATTGATTCTAAACGCTGGCTGCGGGATAATACACTTTTAGTGAAGTAAATGGATAAAATTTAAATAAATATGTATTCTCTTTCTTTTTATTTAGATCCAGTTTATAGTCAACGATATTCCAATATAATCGGATATAATCCGATATATTCCGACCACCGAATCCGAATTTTTATTAAAAATTCAAACAAGAGAAAAAATTCAAGCGAAACGATAAACCGTAATAAATCGATTTTCACTATTGCCCGGTTTTTAATAAAAATCTCGAGATCTAAAGCAAATAGCGATTTTTTTGTCATAATATTTTTTCTAAAGCTGATTGAGAGCTGCAAAAAAGATTTAGAAAAAAAATCGCTATCGCTCTTGGTTTCGGAGATATCCCGAGAAATTCCGTGAAGAGATAAATAATCTTATTACGACTAAGCGCTTCGCTACTGAATTGAAAAAAAATCCACTGAGATATTTACGAGGAAATTGAAGAAAGTGGAACGTGGAATGTTGTGCCAGGTGTTGGAGATGTTTATTAATTCATATTTATTTATTCCAGAGCTGCAAAAGACCTCGAGGAACGCAGAAGTCATTATGAGCCATCACTGGGTCCAGATGAGATCGAGCATCCCTTCAATCTCGAAGAGAGTGACTTTGTCCCACATTTCCAGAGGGTCTCGATATCTGGAGAGGATACATCAGGGGTAAATATAATTTCCAGATTCTCCTGAGAAGATCCCATACGATTTCCCCTTGACTTATATATTTCCTGGGATTTCATTTCCCAATGAAAAAAAAAGATGTTCTCTTTTATTCGTCGGGGCAGTACCTGCTGACGAGTAGATGAAATTTCTCATTTTTTTTAATGTTGGAAATATCTTGAAATCGGATTTTCCCTGTCGTCAGCTGAGGGAGGCCACAGCAATGCGGTTTTACACGGAAAATTCACCCCTTTCTAGATCGTACGTCATCATTTTGAACTCCAGCTCAATGTGTAATCCAACGACTCGCGCAACACCGGAAAATAAATTCGATAATTTTGTACTGAGAATTGATGGAGCCCCTCGTTCTGTTTATGAGTCTCCAATTGAGGGGACAGATTTTAATTCGCTGCGCAATTTAATGAAATCAATGCACCAAATGCTTTTTCCACTGAATTCCCTTACACTGATGAAATAAATGAATTATCCGGTAAACAGCCGGTTTTATCGAAAAACCGTGCGATACATGTTTTGTAGAGAATTGAACCAGCTATAAAAAGTTTAATATCACTTTTTTCCGTAAATCCACTGGTTCTCGGAATATCTACAATAAATGAAGATCCCCTTAACTCCCAATTAAAAGTCAGAATTCTGCGATTCGCCTCTAGCATTCGCCTGGAATAATTGACGAGTTGACTATCAAATTACTCGAGCAATTATTTTCCAGTGCTGGGTCAAACCTCCAAGTGCAAATAGTCTGTAGATAACCGGAGAAGCCAAAAAAACTTAGCTATCCCCTTTAACAGACACGAGTTACTCTATTGACTCGATAAACTGAGACACGTCCAGTTTGACGCTACAGTGACCCAAGCAAGGTCATCTCCAATCAATATATTCCTTACAGACGATATCAAAAGACAATTTCATTGGAACTCGATTAATCGTCGGCCACAAATCAATTACACCAATTTTTTTACATCCAATTGAGAGAAATTTGATAAATTCAAAATGCTATTTCGCCTCGATCCCTCGTGTAGTCTCATTAGCATTTAATGGTCTTGGGTATTTTTTAATTACGTGCAGGTGCCCTTGGAGGATCTCCAGAGAGCCTCGCAGATGCTTGTCCAGGCTCTGGATATCCGAGAGAAATACATGAACAACTCGAGACAGACATTTCCATCAATAGCTGCGAGATTTCTCAGAAGTGTCGATAAACGTCCCATGAATGTCGAGGACGAGGTACAGCACGACGATCGAATGGCGATAGCAGGTATTCATGAGTTAATTAATAAATTGTATTTTGCATTCTTTTTTTTTCGTTCTTCTGGTCGTAATCTCTGTTAATTCCTGGAACTCTAGACAGTAAATCCGATAAATCTCCAACAGCCAGTGAATTAGCCATCTTCGAGACGAGGTCAGACGCTGACATCGATGCCTTGATAAGATTTAACGGCTGCACAGGTTCCTTTCCTTTATTTCCTAGATATCCTGCCATCACTCCTTGTGGAGCGTTAGGAGATTATTTCAATAATATCTCAGAACCCTCTGGGCTTAGCGGGAACCTCAAAGGATGTTTTTTGTTGAGAATTTCGTAGGTTACAAAAAAGGTTCTTTGAGGTTTTTCATTCATCCAGCGGTTGAGGAAATATTGTAGAAATAGTCTAGACACAATTTCTCAAGTTTTTGCTTGATGAAAAAAATCACCGAGAATTTTAATGGAAATATCTCATAAACGGGTGATGTTATGAAAAATATCAACTGGACGTTTTCCGTTGAGAATTTCATCCGCTACAAAAAATGTCCTATTGAACATTCACCTAAACCCCTTAATTCCTGAGATATTCCCAAAAATGTTCGTTCACTTTTTCGATACATTTTTCTCCACTTGAAAATTATGTGAATAAAGTACTAACTTTGATATCTGAATAATTAATGGATCAGATCACCCGGTGCATGCGCCAGCATCGCGAGACCCTTGGGCCTCTGACATACCCCCAGCGAAGAATTACAAAATAGCACCAGTGAATGGAGTATTCAACGTGTTTGCCTCTGAAGAGGATCACCAGAATGGCAAACCCATTCCCTATGCATACCCTGACCTTGCGACCTTCGTCAGGGACATGAATCTCCTTTGTTCCATGATAGCTGACGGCCCCCTCAAGTCCTTCTGCTACCGTCGATTGAGTTACCTGTCATCCAAATTTCAACTCCACGTGTTGCTGAATGAATTGAGAGAACTAGCCAGCCAGAAAGCTGTCCCTCACAGAGACTTCTACAATATCAGAAAGGTACTCAAATGATCCTTCAAAAATTAATGACACAGAGGAATGTATTTTGCAGAAGGAATAATCTACGTAACTTTGCAAACTCCACCTGCCATAAATCACTCCATTAAATTAATCAGCGAGTAATTATCTTGACAGGTCGACACTCACATCCACGCCGCCTCTTGCATGAACCAGAAACACCTCTTGAGATTCATAAAGAAGACCCTGAAGAACCACGCAGACGAAGTGGTAACTTGCTCGAAGAGTGGAGAGATGATGACCCTCAGACAAGTGTTCCAGTCCATGAATCTGACAACTTACGATCTCAGCGTTGACATGCTCGACGTTCATGCAGTGAGTCTCTCAATTAACATCCCCCACTCAATTAAGTCTAAAGCCTAATTAATCTTCTCCAGGATAGGAACACGTTCCACAGATTCGACAAATTCAACGCGAAATACAATCCAATCGGTGAATCACGACTGCGCGAGGTCTTCCTGAAGACAGATAATTACCTAGAAGGCAAGTACTTTGCTCGTATAATAAACGAGGTATCGTCAGACCTTGAGGAGTCCAAATACCAGAACGCAGAGTTGCGTCTGTCAATCTACGGAAAAAGTGCAGACGAATGGGACAAATTGGCGCGTTGGGCGATTAATGGAAATGTTTACTCCGACAACGTTCGCTGGTTGATTCAGATCCCCAGGCTCTACGACATCTTCAAGCTAAACAAACTGATGACAAATTTCCAGGAGATCCTCAACAATATTTTCCTTCCCCTCTTCGAAGTGACAAACGATCCCAGCACCCACCCAGAGCTCCACAAGTTCCTGCCGTACCTCATTGGTTTCGATTCAGTGGATGACGAGAGCAAACCAGAGAATCCACTCTTCGATAAAGATGTGGCACCACCTGAGGCCTGGAATGACGTGGAGAATCCACCCTATGGATATTACCAGTACTATACGTACGCTAATATGACCGTTTTGAATCACTTCAGAGCTGAGCAGGGGCTCAATACTTTCGTCCTTCGTCCCCACTGTGGAGAAGCTGGACCAATTCAGCATCTTGTCTGTGGGTTTATGATGGCGGAGAATATTTCTCATGGTCTTCTCCTCAGGAAGGTCCCTGTTCTCCAGTATCTTTATTACCTCGCCCAGATTGGCATCGCCATGTCTCCACTCAGCAACAATTCACTCTTCCTAAATTACCACAGAAATCCCCTGCCTGAGTACCTGGCCAGGGGACTCTGCATCAGTCTCTCAACCGATGATCCTCTACAGTTTCATTTCACCAAGGAACCTCTCATGGAGGAGTACAGCATTGCCGCACAAGTTTGGAAATTGAGTTCCTGTGACATGTGCGAACTAGCAAGAAATTCAGTGCTGATGAGTGGCTTTCCACACAAGGTATGAATTTATTAATCGTTCAAGGATTATAACAAATTTTTTAAGGCTCCTGAGGTTATTAAGGCCTTCCATTTAATTCTCCAGAGCAAGCAGTACTGGCTGGGCCCTAATTACACGAAAGAAGGAGTTGCAGGAAACGATATCACCCGGACTAATGTCCCAGACATCCGGGTATCATATCGCTACGAGACTCTTCTAGATGAGCTATCCAACATCTTCAAGGTTGTTGAAAAACCAGATGTGTGTACAAACAGTGCATAAAATATTTTTTACATCTCCCCAAGTCCCTACGACTTTTCCCTTATTTTCTAATCCCTATAAAAACATCTTATTAAACTTATAGAACTTTATACTCAAGATCTCTGCAACAACGAAAGAATACTCTTTAACAAGTTTGACACTTGTTCGTCTTACGAATTACAAGGGCTTCTTAAACTCAATTTTCCATTCTCCATTGAAGGAAGAGCTTTGTACTGAATTTCTTGTGACTCCAATTGAATTACCGAGTCTTAAATCGTGTCCTCTGTACCATAAGATATATTGTACATAAGTTTCAGGCAGCTATTCATTAGTTTCGTTTGAAATTCACTCGTAATTATTGTTTTTATTATATTTTTGTATGTTTATACTGTCAAATTGAGTTCCACTGATTCATTTTTAGATGATTGTTCCAGTTAATTAGGAAATTATTTCTCAATCTCTGTTGAGTCGTAGATTCAAGAGTGATTAATATAATTGCATCTGTCCCTGCTATAAAATGCATGAATTATTAATTGACGAATCAACGATAATTGAAGGATAGAAAAGCCAGAAGACCCTGTGTATTCTATTCCCTTGATCATTTCAATCGACAAATTATTGAACAATTGATTCTTCTTATTTACTTTATTGCGCGATTGTCTCACAATCTTATGATTTACAATAAATCACTGATAACTGCCCCCAGGACTTCATTATCGAGATAATCGCAGAATCAACGAAAACTCTCACCCAATAATTGTGATTTTCCATTGAAACTTATGAGAAATTTAAAATTACACAAATGTATTTGTTGTATAAACTATATTCTAGCAGAAATGTATTTTTACTTATGTACCTGTATAATCGATATCTCTTCCCTATACATAATTAAAAATAAGAGCGACAGAGCAGGTAAATCCCAGCACAAATTTGGCAATTTTATTACTGCATGCAGAAGAGTTCTCATGTCTATCATCTGCATTATTAAGAGACTTTGGGGTTTGAGTTGTCGTTTCGATCCTTTCTGGTATATTATGGATCGGCTGTGACGTTGTCCTCGGTTTTTCCTCAATCTCCTCGGAATTATTGACGGCCGGGGCAATTTCTGGTATTTTTAGGGTCAAGGGATCAGATAGAGAGTCATTTTCCACCTTTTCATCGCCTTCATCGATTGGATCTTCTGTGAAATTCTCTGTCCATTGCCTCCAGGGGTGTTCACCACTTGAATTCACTAATTAACAAAAAAAAAACGAAATTATTGACTCATGAAATTGCTGTTGCTGTTGCAAAATCATAAACCATTTTTGAAACTCACTAGCTCCATCCACAGGGATTTCCTCTGTTGTTTCATCGTCGTCGGTGGTATTTTGATTAATCGTTACAGCTATAATTATTTGAATAATTAATTTTTTATTGGGGGCTTTAATAAAGGCACTGGAGGGCTTTAATAAAGGCACTGGAGGGCTTTATTGAGTCGGTAAGTCAAAAGAAAATGAAAATAAGAATTTTTTGTTGATGAATTCTACTGCAAAAACTCACTGGATTCATCAACGAAGGGCTCCTCGATTGTTTCGTTGTCTTCAGAATTCATCAAGACCATCGCAGCATTGGGAAGCAGCTTTATTCTGTCCCTGGGGGCTCTCGAGCTATTAGAGAAGTCTTCAGTCGAGAGAACGATAATCAACTCCTCCTGGAGGTCTGGATACACCGAAGCGTTCACTGATTCTCTCTCGCTGCCTGTGTTCACGAGAATTATGTAGGTGGGGTGTCCCTCTAATGATCTGACAGGAGAAGACAACGTGATTAATGGATGTAATCTAGTCGTGGAAAGATGGACGAGCCATCAGTCCAGAGAGAATTAATTTACCGATTTTTTCAGTTATTCTACCAAAAAAATTCTTAATTCACTTTTTTTAATAACTGATAATTAGTTCGTAGAGAAATTGGTAGATAATTTAATTAGGGGAATTTTTTAGTGAGCAAATCGCCATCGAAGTACCTCTTGAGGAGCAGAATTTTCTCGTCATTCAGTGCCTCGATCTCCCAATCGCCGTCCCGAAATACTGGATCTTTCCTGAGTCTGGCAAGGCTCTTGTACATGTTGAGAGTGCTCTCCGGGTCCTCGAGTTGTCTCTCTACATTCAGGTAATCGTAATTCTCATTCACAGGAAGGTAAGTAGTGTCATTGGTGGAGAAACCAGCGGAAGTGGCCTCATTCCACTGCATCGGAGCCGTCGGGGCGTTAAGGGAGTACTCGAGGCTGTTGGGTGATAGCCGGGGTGAACTGGGGGTCAGGGTGTCATTCCATTGCCCCTTTGAGTCTGTCATTCCTATCTCGTCACCGTAGTATGTGTAGGCTTGCCCTGGGAGGAGCATTGAGAGAATTAGATATCCTCGGAGCTTCTTGTCACCTACTCGACTCGTTATCCTGGGGTATTTGTCTGTTGACAGCTGGGGAAAATCAATTACTTCCATAGAAATTACTTTCATTATTATCTCCAGAACGACCAGATTTACGAGAAAATGGCAGATAACATTTTTGTAGCTGATTAAATTCGCCACAATATACCTCTAACAATATTTTCTCGTAATCCAGTAGTTTACGAGATAATTCTACGATTAATGCGAGTGAAAATCGAAATCGATAATGATCAGTGAAGTTATGGAGTGTATTGACATTATGACAAGCGTTAATATCTCGAAAACAAGCAATTCTAGGAGAAAATGATAAATAACTTTTTTGTAGCTGATAAAATTCACCACAAAAAATGTCAAACAACATTTCCACATAATTCAGTAGTTTACGAGATAATTAATTGATGAGAGTTAAAATTAGAGTTGATAATGATAACTTGGGTAATAGAGTGTATAGACGTATGGGATATTATGGCCAGCGAATATATTGATTCTCACTGCCCAGTTGGTAGTCCAATTTTCTTGCAACTTTTCCAGCCACCCCTCGATTAATAACTTGATGTTTCCGGCTGTTGCACCCTCCCCGATGCCTTCAATTAAACGGAAATTCACCGGTACAACTCCAGGCCGTTCCTCACTACCATAATACGAGAGAAGATCCTCGTCTGGAGCCGAGGCCTCGACCATCAGCAACTTTCCCGTTGAATTATTCAGGTCGGTCCAGTTGTTCGTGTATTCTCGAATCTCATACAGCAAGTTGGATGTTTCCAGAGATTCAAATGAACCTGTCGTTGCATTCGACGAGCCCTCGTCACCAAGAATCGGATCCACGAATAAGTCCCTCACTTCGGAGAAGACGAAACCATCGACCCCACGCTCCAGCCAGAATTTTATTATGTCCTGGAGAAATTCAAACCGAAGTATTCACACTTTAATATTCCATCCAGATAATTCACGCGCGTCATATTCCGCGAATGTCTCTGAAGGGAGTGGATTTACGAGAAAATGTCAAGGACCTTTTTTGTGGAGAGTTATATTTTCTATAAAAAATGTTTACGACTTTTCCCTCTAAATCCAACAGTTTCAGGGATATTACCGGAGTTACGCGGTAGAATTACGGTTTTGTTGCAATTTTTTGTTACCAGAAGCTCTCGAACAACATCTTCATTTTTCAAATTAAGATCCGGCTGTGCCTCGTGATATTTATGGTAATACCACTGGCCTCTAGCATCATTCCAGGTCCATGCAGATCCATTCTCATCCCCATTAAAGCTGGTCCAATCATTTGGGGGATGTCTTGTACCATTGGCATCCACTGTACCATCTGCCCAGATGTAATAATCCGTGTATGGGTCAATCCGGTTAATAGACTCATTAAACCAATTGTGCTCGGTGCTCGAGTGATTCGGCACGATATCCAGGATGACTTTCATTTCTGTTCCAAAACGTCTGATTAATTCAGTGATGGAAAAGTTTGGGAAAATCCAGTAAATGGAGTGCATTACAAGAGTTTAAAGTTTCTGGGCTGTGGAATCACTTCCACGCTTCAGGGAAAAACGACAGTTTAATGGGACTTGACAAATATTTGAATTCTATTACCACATCATCTTTATGTATTTACGATAAAAACACGTCTTAATGCACTAGACTGAATTTTTTCACTTTTTTCTACAAATATCTCGAGAATGAGAGGTTTTACAAGGAGATGTTATAAAACTTATTTGATGGGTCATGAAATTCTCTGTAATAAAAGTCTTATGACATTTTCTGCTGAATTCACTCATTCTCGAGATATTTTTGAAGTACAGTGAGAGTATTTTTCTTTAATCAATTTAATCATCAGTGAGTCATCAATTTATCATCCCCAGGATCCGGAAATTTTACCTCGTCGATGGATCTCGTCCACGAGGCGATTGAAATCCTCCATGTCACCGAAAATGGGGTGGATGTCCGTGTAATTGGAAATGTCGTAGCCACTGGCTATCATCGGTGAAGGATAAATGGGATTCAGGCAGATTGTTTCAACCCCCAGGTCTTGTAGATAGTCGAGTCTCTGAACAATGCCTTCACGATGAGAAACGAGAAACAAACAAAGTAAAACAGCCACGTAAACATCCCCATTCTCATTACAACTCAATTCCACAATAGGAGACCATAACAGAACAAAAACTAAACATTACAAATTCTCTAACACAAATATGTCATAACTGAATAGTCCCACGACAAAATATCATTAGACTTTTTTATAGTACACAAAATTACCAACAAAAAAGTCCTCTTAACATTTTTTCATAACCCCCCTTGATCTCATAATAATCCCGAAATTAGCGAAAATGTGAATTTTGAATAATTTTGAATTTTGAATTTTGCCGGGTCGATGATTTTTATTGATTCATAAATTGATAAATACCTGATAAATCACCATTGCCGTCTCCATCGCTGTCCTGGAAGGCCCTGGGCCCTATTTCATAAATTAAAGTGTCTTTCCACCAGTCATCAGCAGCGGTTATAGGACTTCCGGTTTGTACCGCCAAAAAGAGCGCCAAGAGCGCCAGTCCTCTTCCGGTCGCCATTTTGTGTTTACTCGTTCGGACGCTCGGACCGCGTTCCCTCGCTTTTTATAGATTTTGGCAGGTTTACAGTTGTTTAACACCCCTCGACAAGTGCCTAGTTTGTTTTTATCGTGTTCTGAAGGATTATTGAAGTGTTTGTTATCAGTTTTCGGGATTTCCTCTCTGTTATCGGGCGAATAATACGAAGTGTCGCGTCAAGGCCGGCGTGTCGACCAACGCCAATGGTGTTCCGGTGTTTTTTTATGTTTTTTTACCGTTTTTATAGTGAATTTGGTTTGAAGTGAGTGGAAAATTAAGTGAATTGCACTTCGGGAGTGCTAGTGCCAACTGAGATATTCACGAGAGAATTCAGAATCCTGGCAGACACCCCGGCGACTGTCGTCTCCCAAGCCAAGTCGACTTTGGTGAGTTTTTAATGATTGATTAATTATATTTTGGGGGAATTAATTTATTGAGACGAATAACTGCGTTGGGGCGAAGGATAGAGGGGGGATTTCGGGTTTTTGGGGGTTTTTACCCCTCGAAATTTTGGTGGGAAAAATTCGGGAGCTAGTGGTGGCGATATTTCGATTGCGAGGAGATTCCGAGGGAAAGGTCAGAGAGATTTTTTCTTCAGCAGGCGATTCTCTAGACATAATGTCATTATACATCTTTTCGTAAACCCCTTCACTTCGAATATATTCACAAAAAATCACCGCGAATCCCGTCCCGAGCTTTTAGATAATTCCTCTTGGAGAATTAGACGATCGAGAGGACTAATTTTATTTTTCCGGGGGGCGAAGACGAAATTTCAATGCATTATCGAGTTTTTTTATCTTAAAAATTGAGAAGGAAAATTACGGAGTTTATTCGATGAATATTTCCTCTACGAGCGGATTCTGAGGAAAATATCGAAGAGATTTTTTCTGGAGTAGATAATTCTCTACAAAAAATTCCTGAGACATTTTCCGCTGAAGCCCTTCACTGCGAAGATATTCACAGATAATCGAGAGAAATTCCTTCTCGAGTTTTCAGATGACTTACCAAATGTACTTGAAGAATCAGAATAATTACCTGGCAGACTGAACCTACACTTGCTGTTGCCAAAAGGCGTTCTCAATCCTGACTGAAACGAAATAATCAGCTTCATTGTTTAATTCACTTACGAAATATTGGAAAAACAAAAATTATCTCTCCAATTTGATAGTAAATTGACCGGTGAGTCACGCGAAAATTGAACGATTGCACCAGAAACGAGTGTTTCGAGTTGGACTTGGGTACTCAATCGACACTCGATTAAATATCGAACGTGCCTGGTACTGTCGTACGTGTGCAATAATTCATCCATAATCGCACCAAGTGTGTCCTATCCAACATTCGAATAAATCCACTGCATCATCAATGCTCTTTGTTCATGAATTCTCCATTGTTGATGAGACAATGGATTCTCTTTCAATGCCGGTGAAAATATCTGTAACGAATTGATAAAACGAGAAAAGTCGACTCAGCCCTTCTCTGAGATTTCCGGAAATATCCCCAAAACTAACAGACATACCGAAATTTTTGTCTGAACCTTTTTTGTAGAAACAATTTCAAGCTACAAAAAAGGTACTACAAAAAAATCGCTATCTCTCTTACTTGAGAAGATATTCTCCAAAGAACTTACTGAAGTTGTTAAAAGGGATAACTTAGTTCGTCGCCCAATTTTTCGGGAATATCTCGGAAACCGACGGAGATTATGAAATTTTTGTCGGATCATTTTTTATAGAGCTTTTCAAGAGCTTTAAAAAATGTCCCAACAAAAATTGGCTATCTCCCTTAGTTTCGGAGCTATTAGGTGAGGAAAGTAGAAGAACCCGGAGGGATGAAAAATAATCGAAAAACGTGATGTAAACAACATTTAATTCATGTATTTCTTCAGTTTCTTTTGCACTTTCGATTCAATTACAATAAATTGATTCTCACTCGATATCATTCGTCCTCATTGGATGTCCTGACGCACTGCGACTGCAATATCTCAGTGGGAATTTATTCAATTCAACGCATCATTGATTTATCTTCTCAATTATCCCAAGTTTTAATTAAATTGAGTCATGTATCAGCATTTAGCTCGACCATTTTCCCAATAATATTGAAAATGTAATCAGGCCGAGTGCCCAAGTGCCAATGAAGCGAATAATCTCCCAAGATTCGGCATAATATCCAAAGCTGGACCTTTAAACTCCATCCACGAGTGATTCTCAGCAATTTTTTTTTTCACATCAACAATGAACACCACTTTTTTAATTTCTGAGTAATTCCCTCGCTCTTATTTTTTTTTTAACACTGGCGTTACAATTATTCGTCCAATATAATTCCGTGGAACGTGTAAATAGCGAGCATTACACGGAATTTCAATGATAATATTAAATATAGGCGCAAAACAAATTCAACCATTCTCCATTCGCCGTTTTTATCTTCAAATATCTATCTCTCATTTTCCTCGCATCTTTTTCCACTCTCGTAGTGATTTTCTCCTAATTATTATTATTTTTTTTCATTCATTTGAGACGCATTTACAAAAGAATTCATAACAAATTAATGAATTCAGCTGTGAAGTAGGAAAACTGGAGTCTCAAATTTTCCGAAATATTTCATAATCTCGCGGTAATTTCAACGGTTAAATTGTCGTCCTCTCTCGTTTATCCACTTCACTCCCGAATTTGTGATTTCGTTGTATGAGTGTTTTCATAGTCATGAGGGATTTATTCATTTTCACTTATAAAATTAGAGATGAATAGAATAGCAGCTCTACAGAAGCTCTTGCAAAATAGAGATAACGAATTGAAAAAGAAAAGCCATTTTAAAAAATAGAATCACATTGACAGAAAGAAAAATAAACTGATGAATAAATAATGCGAGAAAAACGCGTCGATTGTTACGTCACGCAAAATAAAAAAAAAAAACAATCCATTGTGGGTTTTCCTCGTCGTTAATTGCATTATTTACAATCAAATATATAATATACACAGCAGCAATCTCTGAACATTACTCCAGGGCATTAATTTACGGGAAAATTTGTAATGATAAAGGAAGAAGGAACATCGTGGATTTTCATGTTACAATTAATTATTCTCGTTACGTTTTGCTTATGTTTCTCAGCGTACGTATATACTATGCAATAACACAACAATGTATGTACACATATATCTCTAATGGCAAACATTTTATGCGTCTCCACGCGGTACAAAATTGTTTTTCTGATTGAAACCGCACGTTAACAGTTTTTCCACAATTTTTGATTTATCATTTTCCACGATCCATTCGCTATTTTACCTGTCATCAAATTATCGTATCGAGACATTAATTATCTTACATTCACTTTAATTAATCGTACACATAACTGTTATTTCGATACGTATCTAAAGAACGAATTCACTACTATTTTCAGAGGATGAATGACCGAAATAAAAATGCCTCTTTGAATTTAAATGGGGAAACAGCTGATTAAATCGCCGGGTAAAATTACCTCGAAAAATTAATCCACAGATTATCGAATCTCTATTGAGATAGACATTTCATTTCACTCCACTTTTCCTGTCTTATCGCCACTTTGAATCATTTATTTTCAAATGAATACTTCACTTTGTTTATTTTTGTTCGTCGAGACGAATTATTTATCTTTCGTTGGACGAGTGAACTTCAATTGCTGCTAATTGGCAAAACATGAAGAGTCCATTACAGTTTTTTTTTTCTTCTCATCTAAAAAATTCAATCAAACGATTTTTATCTAAAGATTTTATCGTAGTTTTTCCTCTAAGTGCAATTGCTTGCAATTTTCTTGGTTTTAAATTGATCTATTACATAGATATCATCAACAACATTGCATTTGTGAATCTAACAGACTCGCCATGTCCCACGCCTTATCGAGAGATTCTTAATAGATTTCTATATAAACACTCTAAGAATATTTCATCTACGATGTAAAGACAGTAAAGAGGATAGATTCAAGTTATTTTGTCATTTATTGATTGTATAGTAAGTTATATTAGAAGTAGTTGTGTATAGCATCGTTTTTTCATATCCCATTTGCCGTTTTAGGATCAATAGAAATGTCAGAGTTTCAGTTATTTATTTTAATCTATTTATTTACAAATAAAAGGAGAGTTGCGGCCAGCCCCGGTGATTTATTTCTCCATTTGGTGATGGGTTTTTTTTTTTTTTGTTTAGTCCGAAGCCAGAGACTCCAAATTTGTGCGTTAAGCATCCGAAATTAATGAAAATAAGGGAAAGGGAATGTTTTAGTCAATTCGCGGACATTTTAGTTAATGAAATACTAAGAATTAATCAGTTTAATTGGTCCAAATCCAAATTTTCTACAATTGGTCAATTTTATTTTTGCATTTAGCTTTTTGTTCTCAACTAATTTAGTCTTTGATCGTTCAGTCGTGCTAGGTATTGTATAAAAGGAAAGGGCACATTGAAAATAATGCGCTTTGAGGCTGGGGTAATGTTTCAAATATGTTTCGAGGCCAGTCAAGTGTAATTGAACGTCTCTAACGTTTCCTTGGTCCTTGATTATTCAGTGTTAATGAATGGAATTAATTAAATCGAGGGATGTCAGTAGGTATTTTTACTTTTTGGGACGAATCTTGAGGATTTCTCGGAGATTTTATGATCTAGTGATTCAATTCATGTAAATTACTCTCGGGACTTTAATGGACAGTGGAAAATCCGTTGTGGCTGATGTGGGGCTGGCCTGTCGTGAAAATTGAAAAATTGACGTACCAAATGTGTCATAATTAGTGAAAATAGCATCACGAAGTATTGATCGCTGAATTGATAGATTCAATAGTAATGAGAGCTGTGATAGGTCGGGTAATGGACGATGAGAGTATATTCTATAGCATGTGTTAATGTGAGTGCAGTATATCATATGTTAGGTATCCATTGGGCACACCTTTCTATTTCTATTCCTCCTTTTTCCATAAATTTATCCACTTTCTAAAAACGAACGCTTTGCTAAAAGCATTGCCACCCTCTCATCACCTTTCTACGGTTTATGCTATTGTTAGAATATAATACTTCGATCGATTATTTTATTAATACCACTCAGCAAAAAAAAAATAACTCCCGAATGGTCTTTTTCTTTATTATCATTTGATTTTATTTCACTCGGAGAGATTTTTGACTAGATTATTTCGTCTGAAATTGACAATAAAGAAAATTGTCTTCCAATAATTTCAATAACTTCAATGTTCCAATCATTTCATTTATTATTCGATTGTTATTAAATTTTCATTCGAGTTTTTTTATTAATTGAGAATGGATTAAATTTGAGTGTTTTTTTTTTTTGATGAGTTAAATTTTTCTTGAGGGATTTTTCCTCCTCGGAGGTATTTAAATATTACTGCTGATTTTCTCGTGTTGAGAAATTTGTTTTTTTCTCGCATTACCATTGCCAGTGCCACCAAGAGAGGATTGGTTGGTTGTTGAGGGAATTGAGATACACAAGACTCCTTTGGAAATAGGATATACGACAAATGCACGAGATTTTAGAGTAGAATTCGCGCTTTACCCGTAAATTTCCGTCTCGACAACTGTATATATACGAAGAAAATCCCCGGAAAAATTCCATACCCATACTATCTGGCTTACAAGCGCGATATCGGGTATTCTACATTTTCTACGTTTCACTCCTCGACGCATCAGCTATTTATTTATTTAGTTGATGATGAGAATAACAGAAACCGTCGAGCGAAACGGAAATCACTGAGGTTATCTGTTTTTAGCACGCTTAAGATTTTAGAGTATCACTTTGACGCTTTGCTAGTTGAGTCTCATTTAAATCTTTAGTTTAAACTCATACTAAAATAATCAAGTTTTTTATTAGGAAGAGGAGCTACTCCTAGGTCAGCTCTTCTGGTTTACGTAGAATAGAAAATGAATTTTCGTTATAATTGTTTTTTTTTTATCAATTTCGATATTGAGGGCCTTAATGGCCCAGGGGAATACAGATTAAACTTGGAAAATATCTACGAAAGACTCGTTATGAAGAGGGAAAAAAAAGACATCACAATCTCACTCTCACAGGCATCATCGTCAGTTCATTCGACTCGGTTAAAGTTCATTAATAAATTGCGTAATTAATCCATAAATCTAGACTCACGCTAGGTACTTACAGTATTTATAACTCATATTTCTACAGTGTCACTGGGTCCTACGCACTTTATCATCGATTCTTCATTTATTATTAAATATTTTTAAACTCAAACGATGATAATTCCTTCGAATTGTTCAGTCAGGCATGCGACCCTCGATCAAAGGCAGTGAAGAACAACGAAAGCTTTTACTTTCGAGCGAAGGCCGCGCATCCCTTTCATTAAAAAATTCTTCATGGCAGAAAGAAAGAAAAAAAAACAATTTGGAAAGTAACTCCTACATTTAATCTCAGATTGAGGAATTTCTCTCAATCTTTCTACTCGTTCATACCATCATGCACTCGTTGAATCTCTTCATCGTCAATTCCAATAATCGAATTGTCCGATATCAAGTGATTGAATTCACTTCCTAACTTTCGAAGACTAGAGTTTTCTTAACCAAAATTCAACATCATTTTTATACTCTACGGTAGAATATCATATAAACGCTATCACTTAGATAAATCCTATGTATAATATATATATGATGTTTAACGTTATCTCTTGATTAATCATTTTAATCTAGATTTTTACTGACCACTGCCCTGTGCGGTGGTTTATGACTAGAGGATGTTGCTCTTTCGTTTGAATTTCTTCTCTCATTCGTAATGCTTCCTCCTTGTCTCTGGTTTTGAGTTTCCTCTTGAGTTTTTGCTCAATTCAATTCACCAATTCCATTGATTAATCATCATCGAACGAAATAACGAGTCGTCAATTAATCCCATTCAAATGATTCCCCAAAAGTCATTGAATTCCTTCCAATCAGCCAGATAAAAGGGGAAATCCATCAATCCTTTTGGCTGCAGGACAAAACACGCGTGAAGGATAAATTCGAGGTGAACACCTGGACATGCACCAGGACATGCACCAGGAGAATCATCAAGAATTTGTCCAGACCACTTGTTTATTTTCCAATGGTTGATGTATTGGTTCTTCGAGGTAGGCCGTGATATCTTGAGTTATTTGGGGGTGATAACATCTTCTTAGAAGCCAGTAATGACTTCGTAGGCCTCGAGTGTCGACATTACGAGATAGAATATCCACAGTGAAAAGAGAAAAATCGATGTGACGACTTTTGGTGCAAATGGTCCTCCAAGCTCACCACCGATGCTCTTGGAACGCCTCAGAAGCAGAACTATGATGACTGCGCAGGCTTCAGTACAGAAAAGGGTCACTGAGAAGGCCAAGCTAGGGGAATAACAAGATTGCATTTTATTCACCTCCGGTGTATTAGTTTCTTCGATGCATCACGCAACTTACAAGGTTTTGTTATTTTTAGGCTGGTTCTGCTAATTCTGGGTGATTCACCTGGGGCTTTTTATTGTGGTAATAGTGACGACAGTGGGAAATTTTTGGAGCGATTGCAGTAGGTTTGAGGGATGGTTTTTTATGGTTTATCTTATTTTCTTATTAGTTTATCTAGACCATCTGGACTCACCTGCCCGGATCCACTTCGAATTTGTTCCCGTGGTAGCTGTGATACATAGCAGCAATACTCCATGCTATACCTATCCCCAGGAAGACGTTAACAGCGTTGCTACCAGTCACGTTTCCAACGCTAGCATCGGCGTACTTGTCTTGGCATGCTGCCACTTTGCTGGCAAACGTGTCTGAAATTTTCATAAGGTCGTTTGGTTAGATTGCAGGAGCAATCATCTGTCTTATTCTTCGATTTAGCTGTTGATATTCTTTTGGGGGAGAATTTTTGGTGGCAGATCTTGTCGGGATGTTCTTGGGGTGTATCTGGGTGTATGGAAATTTTTTCTGCTTCGGTGTCTAGGATCTCTAGGTGGTGGTAATTTTTTTTTATGGGAAGTATGACAATGTCGTTAGTCACTTTGACGGCGGCTGGAGAGTGACCTTAATTCTGGATAATTAAGGCCTCCCCTACGGGTAGTCATCTTGTCGGCTTCGGATCTTCATTAGTGGGTGATTATATTATATTATCTGGGTTCATCACAGTCAAGGGCAGTGGACTTTGGTATTTTAAAATACTGGGAGTGTTTTGTGATTAAATGTGAGGGTAATGGAGTCTTTAGGAGGTAACGCTTTTAAATTTTGATGGGAAAGTTAATGTCTAGTCGGGCTTTCCGTTGAGGGGTAACCGGATTAATTGTGAAATATTAAAATGGGGGATGAATTGAATGGAGTGGACTGGAATGATCTGGGGGAAACGATTTTTTTTGGAAGTTGTGTTTTTTTTTTCTTCATTGAACAGGGATTGTGGGTGGGGGGATCCATCAGAAATAAATAATTGGTTCATGGAAAAATGTGGTTTTAGAAGAAAAAGAAAGACTTTCTTCCTACAGAAATCCTAGATCAGGCCCCTGGGACTAGGATGAAAAAAAAGTTCTATTTTTGTATTTTTTATCGCGTCTAAGGATTTTATATTCGTCTAGAAATGGAATACACGAGAAATCAATCATTAGATGATGGATAGGTTCGATTTAACGAAAAAGGGAATTTCTGTCCGCAAAAATCATAGATCAGACCCCCAGGTATATAACGAAATCTTTCAATTAACCGATGGATTCGATTTTCGATACGATAATGCCTCGACGATTGAAAAATATCAGGAGAAAAAATGTTCTTTCTGGTACAGCCCCGGGGGCCTGATGTAGGGCCCTCAAAGGAAGTGAATGACTTTCTTCAGGATAGAATTGACTTTCTCCATTTGAACTCTGACAATATTCTTTTGTGCGCATGAGCTCTCTTGATTAAATACCAGGAAGGTGATTTGATCTCTATCATAACTTTTCATAACTCTCAGTGGCATGTAAAGTAGGAGACGTGGATAAGGAATTGGTGTTATCAAAGGCCCCGGGACAGGAAGTGGAAGCGTATTATTTTTTTCTTTTCTTCAGGCTCGCAAGTTCGTCTGCTGCCTGCGGGGATTTCCGTTATAATTTCCTTTTTTTTTTCACTTCAACGTTTGAACTTTTTTAGGGAATGGGTGAGGGGTGTCTCTGGAAATAGCTGGGGAATTTACTTTTTGCTTGGAGAAAATTCCGGACAATTTTCATCGCGAAATCATGAAATGCAATCGATCATTTCAAGAGATTCATTTGATCATGACACAAAAAATTAGTAAATTAGGAAAATAAATTGTTAAACCAACAAATTAAATTGAATTACATTTGAAACAGGAAATTGTGGCGAAAATATCAGAAGATTAAATTAATCAAATAATTAGTTACATAAAAAATATTTTTCATTGCTTCATATCTAATTCAATAAACAACAATTTTCGGTCGTAAATAGGTTTACTAAATTTTTCTCTCGTTGTATGTTAAAAATTGAATTATTGATGAACAATGATGGAATATTCAAGTACGAATTGATTGTTAGCGGACTAAAACAAACTTTCAGTTTGAACTTGGGATCGACGAAACTGTCAATTAGTTTTCCCCTTTCGACAGCCATTTTCCGAGGTATTTTGTGGTTTTGGAGGGGTGAGTTAAAGCGCGATGGACAGATTGAGTGAATGTACAAACTCATGTACCTGGAAACTCGTTTACTATTGAATATCCGTATAACAAATTCGATAGGCTCGATAATACCGCAGAACAATATCCAAGTGCATTGGGGGTAAAAATGAGAACAATTTGGTGGGTTTAATTATCCGGGGGAATAGGCTATCGTGGTTTTCACTCGGCAGGGCTTTCTCGCAAATTGACATACCGCACTTGGTGCCTGTCGAAAGGCAAAGGGGCATTAAGGTACCTCGTTAGTGCGTTCTGATGATAATACTGGTAATTGGATTGCATTATTCCACGATTCATCGGGTGCTCAATTATTTCATCACTTTTGGGGAAAAGACGACGGATATTTTCGAGAAAAAAATTTTTTTTAACGTAAATTTATTTATTTTTTTCATCAAAAATTCGGGGTTTTGTTAAATCAGATTTCAATCAATCGAAAATATTTTTTAGATCAATAATTAATTGATTAATTCATTTTTTTTATGGGTTAATTAAGCTATCAAATTTATTCCAATTAATTAATTCAATTGGTGTTTCTTATGAAAATTATTCAATTCAATTAATTTATTAGTTTCAAATTTTTTTTTTTATTTACTATATTTTTTTTACGCGTTCCTGTTAATTAATTCAATTTAACCAATGCCTTTGATTGATGTGACTAGGGGAATAATTGATAATCCAATAATCAATACGAGTTTTAATTCATAAGTTCATACAATATCAAGGGAAATATTCTCATAAATTACGCAATAATTTCCATTGGTTTCCCCAAAATTTTTCATCTCACTAAAATATAGAATTGCAATCACTAATTAAATAATGGCTTAATTCGTTTTTTATTTGATGATCACGAATTAATTTTTGGGAATGCAATGCTTTTGGCTTTAACGCCAACTTAAGACGTGAATATTTTTTTTTTGAATTTCTCTTCGCGTCAATATGAGATCATACGAATTATCTGAGTACTTACCAGGAATACTAGTACCCAATGCCACAAACACAACAGCAGTAACTGAATCCTTGATACCCAGTGTGCATCCAAAATACGAGGCAACATCCCCGATAACAGCAGTCACAACTCCAATTCCCAGAATACTGATAACAAAACACAGATATCCACCAGCGATATCTGCAATAAACAAACAGAATGTTCAAAATCTAGAATTAGACATCAACAGGTTAAACCTGAAATGAAATCATTTAAAGATTAATGAGGCAACAGTTATTAGACATCTATTTTCCGATAGCCACTTCAAGGGTTTAATTGGTAAAACCCTTGATTGGTGATTTTTTTATTTAATTTTCCCCCCTTATCCTCAATTAGTTACCACTTTGTTATTAAAATTCAACTGCATATTCTCACGTGCGCGAAATACCTGATGAGAAAAAAAATTAATTTAATTGGGCAATCGAGTTTTATGTTAAGTGTAGAGTGAATTCACCTTGCGGTTCAGTTATTTATATTTATTTTGGAATTATGGGGATAATTTAAAGTTTATTTTTCGGATTAAGTTAATGCGATCGAGGGAATTGTTTGGCCTTTGGCGATATTTTATTCAATTGACGATTGTTTGTTTTTTTTTTTTTTTGCAACATGAAAATTCTCTTGTATTCAATTTTTCCCATCGTTTCACAGTCGATATTTTCTCAACCACTTTTACATATATGGAGTACATACGGTTTTACATGGGGGTAACGTTCGTCGACAGTGGAATAAAATATCGAGTGGAATATTTCCGACCAGAAAATTCACACCGGATAAATGGGAGTTTTCACTGGTCACGGGTGCCAGGGAAAATTGTCTGTCGTTTTTGAGTTTAATCCAGGGGTGAATTGTTCATTCGGTAGGGAGTGAAGGATTTTATCGATGGGATCCACTAGAAATTCACTGAGGATTTTAAAAAATCTATCAATGTGTTTTATTAATCGTGCTCTAGTTCTCAATCGTTTTCATAATCAAGAGAGACTCGGAATCAACAGCAGTCTCGTGTCCTGGAGAAGTGATTAAACTCACTCCAATAATCAGAACTGTATCGTTAATTTAAAGTTTCTTCGAACGCGTTAATAATCCTCACCTCCAACTCGCGATGTTAAACTACTGTTCGAGTTTAAAGTCAGTTGCATTCGCTGGATAACATTCCAGGTGGAAAAAGCCCAGAGCTTTTCCATTATAAAGTTTATATTCATCGGTTCATGGCTGACACGAGCACTGGATTTACCACTGCATAATAACCGCATAATGAGTCTTGCACTTGTCAAATCGAACTGCTATTGTATCTGGAATTCTAGAAGATTGAAATGGAGATGAGTTTGTCCCAGGTGTTGATACCATTAAATCTGAATTAAGTCTGAATTTTAATCGTGAATTCGTGGATTTATCCAACCAGCGGAGAAGAGCTACAAGATCTCGATGTGCTGGAGTTTTTTCTGCCAGTGGTAAACTAGAAAACGAATTTTTCTCCCAGAATTGTTTCGGTGGATCCCAGATGCTGCTTCACCTAGGGTTCGATTGGATATTGCCTGTCTGTTTGGTCTTAACGTGATTTATACCCCAGGTAGTTGGATTGTCCCATTGAACCCAGTGGCTTGAGGAAATTACGATTGTTGGAGAATATCCAGGGAGCTATTGAAGCTGAATGGTTCTGGTTTTGGAGTTGGAGATCGTTTGAGCTTGTCCTCGAGTCTCCGGTATCTGTCTGGTATTCCTTAATTATATTGCTGGAGGCTAAAGAAATATTTGAACTTCGTCGAGCTTGAGATATGAGAAATAACAAACTGGAAGAGGGGATTTGGAATTTTTATTGATTTTTTATTGAGATGGTGATTGTTCCTCCATTGGGGTGATAATTTAGCTTGGATTTTGTTTCCATTTGTTATTCGGTGTGCATCAATCTTCGGGGTATGTCCGTCATGCTTGATGGGATATTGCGTTGGTACAGATAATAGTCAGGTGTCCAACGATCCGAGAACGTCCGAGCGATTAGGTATGTTTAACAATCCCTCACTTCTATCCCCTCTGTACAATCCACCACGTACTCGAAGAGTCCTCGGGCTTTTGTCCGTGGTACAGATCCTTGTGTATGTATGGAGAAACGTGACCCAGTTACACCAACCACGAGGAGTTATGGTTCCACACACGTGACACACATTCTGATTCATGGGTGGAGACCCATCCACTTGGTCCATTCCTCCCTCCACCCATTTCGTCTCTCCATTTCTCCAGTTTATTATTGTCACTCGGCTTTTTTCCCATTTTATAAAGCCTACCAGTGTTATGACGAGATTTTTTACCATAAAAAACTATAAGAAACAGGTATTTCGTATCGGAGAGAAAAACCCAGATTATTGGTCGTAAAATTGAAATGTTGATCCTTCTGATGTCCGGGGGTTTATCTCTTCTTTTTTATTGACAGAAATCGGAGCATCTCCTGTTAAAATAATCTAAACAACAATTTTTTAAAATTGATTGAACAAATGTAACTAGTACATTTTCAGGATTGAGTAATTGCTCAATTAACCCTGAAATACGAAAATATTTCGCCACAATTATCCCAGAACTCTCCAGATAATTCAATTAAACTTCTTCATGAGGAGAGATGAATAAAATATCTGGTTATCCTCGGTAAAAATCTTCATCGCCATAATTGCCAGGAGAAATTAAATAAATTAAAGTGGAGCAATTGAGAAAATTCCGTTGGACTCAAGAGAATAATTCTTCGAGAGATAAATTCGTTAAAAAAACAGATCCCTAATCTCGTGTTTACTCTGGAGCCATTGCCATCTTCCACTACCCCTCCCACTTCACTGTAATTGCTGTAACACTCGTTATCGCAACAATCTCCCCCATTTAATCCCCGCATTAGTGAAATAACTGGCTCCTTCGATAATCCCCACGGATGATGCACAAGAGGGTGTGCGTAATGAGCAAGTGCTGCAGTGTCTTCTGCAGGTGCATATGCATCAACAGTTAACATTAATATGATTATTATTATGTAATATTATGGGTGAAGATGCTGTAGCGATGATTTATTATCGTCTCCTTATCGGGAATTCATGCGATTTCTTTGGAATATTTAGGGGTGATTTTTTGTGGCGGTGTTATCAGGATTTTTTGGCTGATTTATGAGCTTTTCGGTGATAAGGGAATTATTATAAGGGAATGCAAATTCTGGGTTGTAAAGGGGGAGGATTTTTTTTTTTCTTTTTGATTTGGGAACAGGCGAGGGGAAAGAGATTGTTTGGAAATTGTTGGTGGGGTGATAGGTGTAACAATTGAATTGTTGAATGCAATTTAATTTAGAATAGATTGGAAATTTGGGGAAGGTATTATTGTAATTGCCTGAATGTTCGAGGAATTAAGTGATCAATTGATTCATCAATTAATAGTTTTACTGGAATTTCTCGTGGGATTTGGGTTCAACGATTTTTTGTTTTTCGGTGAAGCCACAATTGGGTCATTATCTCGGTAGCAGGTCCTCCTAGCGAAATTTGACATGGAAATTTTTTGTAGCTTTTGATATTTTCTACAAAAGAAAATCAACAATGTTTTCTCGTAACATTGCTCATTACCGAGATAATTCGATATTTAGTGGAGTGAAAAATTTATTAATTCCACGCTCTGTGTATCCTCGGAAAAAAATGAAAAAAAAATGTAAAAAATGGGGAAAAAATCATAAATTTTCCCTGTGACATTTATATAATTCAGTGGACCTTGAGTGCTCTTCTGAATATTCACTCGCAATGATCGTGCCGTGGAAAATTCATACGGTGGTAATAATTAAATGAAAATAGACGTGAAAAGCGACAAAGAGGATATCATGGAAGGCAGAAATTAATCATTCGCAAAATTTAAATACTTTTATATCAAATCCAATGGATTTCAGAGGGAAAATAATTGAGGGTTGGAGAGACAGGGGTTGGAATAATTAGAAATGTGATAACAGCAATCGATAATGGAAGTCTCGAGGATGAGGGATTTATTTTATCGTGTGTCTGTCAAAAAAAAAAGTAATTTATTGGAGTCTGTAATCCACGGTAACATGTTAAGAGTCCCTTGGGATTGGGGTGGAAAGGGGTGGAGATTACTCAAGAGATTTCCCTCGTTTCTTTTTCATCATGTACATTTTCTTATCTTCGCATTTCCTTGAGGAAAGAAATTCATTTAGTTTTCATCATTCAACATCATTCTGGATTTTTAATCTTTTGGGGTTTAATTCTGTTCGGGATTTTCAATATTTTATAAATTTTAGTCAATTCGAAAAGGTGGTAAAAATTGGGGAAAATTGGATATTAAATTCAAAAGAATTTTTACTGTTTTTTATTATTTTTTATCTGCGGAGGAAATGGAATTTGTTTTCCATTTTGATAACTCAAAAAAAAATTGAAGGATTCATTAAAACAGGAAATTAAATTCGATTGAATTTCCAACAACTCCCGAAAAATAATTCTTCAATAATCAATAATTTCATTGATAAATTCCATAATTGAATAACCAAATGGATTAAAAAATTCCGACAGTTGAAAAAATTTGGAATAATTCTCCATTAGCCTGAAATAATTGCTAATCGATAAGATAAATTCCTCCGGTTTTTTCTCTTTGATAAATTCAACAACGGAAATTGGGGATTTTATTTTTTACTCTTGAAGGCACTAAAGGGAAATATAACCCCTGGGCGAGTTGGCATTTGTAACCCGTGAAAATCCTAGATGCATGGAGGAGACACACATTTATTTCCTCTTCATTTTATTCAGAATAGGCTAGGCCCTGTGCAGAGGCTGAAGTAAGTTGGAATCACGTGTTTCAGAATGTTGCATTTTCTTCTTGGATTTTATGGTCTGAGGGGTTTACTGTTACACCCTGACGCATTTTAACTCCACATCCCATCAAAAACATTCGTTCTGGGCAAAATCCAGTGTTATGACTGTCATCACCGCGTTTTGCTCGTTAAATTTTTCTATTGAATTTTTTCAACGTCGTGAGATAAAAAATTTCATTGTTTACTCTGTGATGCGTCAGATGACAGCTCGTCTCAGAATTTCGGACTTAATTGAAGTCTAAATGATTTAATTCTCAGGAAATCATTGCGTCAATAATAAAACCTGTTTATTGCATTTTAGTAGAGAATTTTGTTGATGTAAATATTCAAGAAAATTATTAACATAATCACTTCCGTGAAAGTCGAAATATTAAAAAAATATCACAAGGCAAAATATTATAATGGAAATATTTCTCTTCGCGGAAATATTAGCCTGAAAAATATTACAAGTCGAAGTATAACGATATCATTATTTTTATTATTTAAAAAAATATTAGAAATTTGAGGATTATGGTATTAATTGTTTACTGGGCAGAAGTATTGCACAAAATATTGTTGCCTCAATATTCCCTCAATAATTTTTGAGGGAAAATCTCTAAGACGACATAATGTATGTTTTTTGAAATATTTTGAGTTGTAATATTTTGAATAGCGGTATTTTTACAGAAACCAAATGCAATGACATGTTTTTCAAAAATATCCGCGGAATTGTCATTTCCAGGATTCAATCCCATAAAACTCAGTCATAAATTTTTACCAGTGACGATTGAAATGCACTTGTCCCTGCAATATTTACATTTCGATTTCCATAAAACTTGAATTCGATTATTGTACCATGACGATAGGTTTCGTCGAATGTTAAAGCTCAGGGGAGAATCCTGTCAGACTTCCAGTGCTCATTGAAAATTGAAAAACTTATCCCCTCGATAACGTACCGTTGACGATAGGTTACAGTTGAATCAGGAAATCAATCATTTAATTCACGAGTCATCAGATACCGAGAAAATCACCTAGAGATTCTGAAAGAATTGAGTGGAAACTGCAATTTGATTCAATTTTTTTTTGTCTCAGTTGTTGTCTCTGGTGGGATGTCTCCAGGGAATCAGAGATTGGAGTAGAAGAATTTATTTTATCAGAGTGATGAATTTCAGTGGGAAATTCCCAGGGGGTGGTAAATAGGAAAAATGTCCAGGTGAAATTAATTGGAGAGGATTTTTGTGGGAAATTTTCAATCAATCATCATTAAATCTCCATCAACTCTCGATTAATTTACACCATCTGTTAATACCGTGATCTCTATCAACTGACTGTTATCTCGGTGATATTAAATTCACTGTGTGAGTAAAAATGGCCGTCAAGTGTCACCATAAATCTTGAAGACTCTCAGCCATTTCTCTTGGCCTTGTAACATCCATTCTCGATCGATCCCCAACGACTTAGTCTCCTCCATCTTTCCCTCGTACTTTCGTATTTTCTACGTGCACTTGCACTTCGTGTACACTCTATTAAAAAAGAGGAAAACTTTCCGAAAAATTACTTGAAAAGAAGCGGAACTTTCACGAGAGAACTTCAATTACGGAAAAGTCATTCTATATTTTTTATCCCCAGGAGAATTTTTTCGCAACAACTGCTATTATCATAATTATCGTAATTATCGTAATTATTGCATTACGTTTTACATAATTGAGTTACATTTTGCTGTAATAGTAAAGTAGAATAGTGGAATAATCAATTGTCTTTGAGATTCAGAGAAATTTCTGGGAATACAGGAGAATTTTGGGAATTTTGGCTGGCGATTACGCGGATTGTCGCGTTATTTATTCTCAACTTTTACCTCGGTGGTGAAATTCATAAAATCGGATTGCAAATGGAAATTTTCGAGGGTATGTAGTTTCTCGGGTACTCGTACTGTTGAGTACCGAGCAATGGGGGGTGAGGGTGAGTACCATTGAGGAGACAATGGATGCCACAGCAAATCCCCACTCTCCTCCACGTATTTCATCCCCCTATGACATAATATTCCTTCGCTTTCATCGCATCCCCCGTGTGCACCATTAGCATCCCCTTCGGTGTAAATGACTTGGTTGGAAGAGCTTCTTCGAATTACACATCCCAGGCAATTTAATTGTTAATTCATGTTTCGTTTGGTGTAACTGAACGCCGAGGATTGACAGACATTTCCTCTTTCTCATTTTCTCGGTTACTATTTCATTTGAAAATTCAGGAAAAATCCAATTTTTCTCCTGCATTAATGTATTTTTGGGAAAATTAATTCAAATACGGGATGCATCAGCCATTCGGAGAAAATTTAATGTTAAAATTACTAAGATTACTGGTAATTACGATTGAATTCTTCCAGTTGTCACTGATTTTTCTCGGAATTTGGAATTTTTATGGGGAAATCTACGGAGAGTCCAATTAATTCTGTGAGAGGTATTAATTAATAACATAAGTACTTGAAGTACCAGAAGTACTAAGTATTCAAAAGCCCGGGTATTTGTTCGGCCCTAAGTACCAATTATTCCACTCTCAAGCACTTCTCATTTATGATAATTAATTACTGAATTACTGAATGCCTTAGAGTAATTGAAAATGACTTAATGTGTTTTAAGCAACAAAAGTACATTAAGTACTTGTCCAAAACAGCAAGTACTTTACTTCATAAATTGATTAAAGTACTTGTTTAGTGGTTAATGCGATTAATTAATTACCCCATCCCTGAATTTTTTTTTACCGTATACAACAGACAATTTTTCTGGATAAGCCGAAAAATTTTCTCATATATTTCCCGTCGGTAGATTTTCCCTCAGGATAAGGGATGGGGTATAATTATCGTTGAATTTTCACGTTGACACCTGCTCAGTGTGCATGCGATGGGTCTCGTGACATTTGCTAGTACCTTTTGCATATTCGACAAATAGTCGGTACGTGAGTTTGTTGTAAATTGCCCTACGGATAAATGCCTGATGGGGTTCAGCCGGTTCTTGAGATTGCATGGAATATATATTGGCACAGACGATCATACGACACACGCAAATTGTTTCACCCAACCTGCCATTTACTCGTATTCTATACTTGTTTATTATTGATCAAGTACACGAGTACATCACAAGTTGGTGCATCATGAGTTTATCGAGTATCAAACACTCTCGAGATATCGCAAGTTTATGGTCGATGTTCCATGAGTAATTTTCGCATTAAGTACTCAAGTGTCATTTGCTATCGGTACAGAGAGAGTTGAAGAAAAATGGCTGGTGTGATAAAATGGTTTTATGATTGTACTTTGGGCATGGGCGTGGACTTTGGTGGTTTTTTATTTTTATTTTTGGTGGTGGGTGGGGGAGGGAGGGTGAAAATATTTACTGACCTGTCGGTGGCACAAAGGCGAAGAGAACCTTCCAGAATATAGTGAGAGAGTGCATGAGGTAATCAGAGAATGATGGAGATGAGACTCTAGCTTCACCTGACTCGTCGTCCTCACCCTCGTCTCCGCTGCCCACCATCACGGCCTCCCTGAACTGCTCTTTCCAAGAACTCGTTCCTGAAATTAAATTTGGTAATAATTCCCCGGGTGAAATTACTAGAGCCTTTTACCTCCGAGAAAATACACAATCTCGTAAAATCATTTTTTAAACAGCATTATTGTTTATTTATTTTATTGTAATTTATTGGAATTCCTATTTTCAAATATGAATGACAAAAATTATTGAAAATTGGGAAAATCCTTTCATCATTTTTCTTATTTTCATTCAGCAATTTTTTTTTTTGGACAAACTGATAAATTGGGGATTTATTGATTCATCGAAGAAATAACACGATTTTTCAGTTTGAAAAATTAATAAATCGCGGGATAAACAAATAAATAAATTCTATTCTGTAAATAGGATTATCTCTGAATAATCCCCAGTTTATTTCCTCGGAATGTCAAAAGTAATTCTTTAATGGTGTACATTAAAAAAGTGAATACAAGAGAATTTCCCCAGAATTTTCTCCATTTCCACGGCTTTGCTGCGGCAAACTCTAATTACCCAAATAATAAGCCCTTCCCAGCGATTCAACATTCAAACAGAAAAAATATTTAGATTCCATTCCGCAAAACATTAATATAAATATTTGTAGATTTATTCTGAATTTTTGCTATCCTCATCGCATACCATCCTCGACTCGGAATCCATCGGGTGAATTTCGTATCATCAATAAATCGATGGGTATAACCTTATCAGGGGAATCCCAATGCGTGGAATGCCGAGGAATTCCTCGGGGCGAATTTTCTCGACGAGGTGTTTCCTGATAACTATAAAGCCTCATTTTTTTTTTCTCCCCGCGAAAAAAAAAAAACGAGAAATTGCTCAGAGGAAATTTCATCCACGTTGACAGCATTTTTCACGAATAAAACAGGGGTAGGACAATAAAGGCGTGAAAACCTGCACCATTGGTCAATCGATTTGCTGCACACGAGTTATCGTTTCTAGTGGACATTTACGACTCGATGAGTTTCCGGTGTGATATCGATTCACATGTGATACTCTTCATTCTTCCACATTCTTTTCAAACAGATCCAGTCCTCTTCAGCTCCATTATTCCTTAACCCTTGCCAATAAATTCAATAAATCGGTTATCGAGACTGACGAGCTTTTAGGGCTCCACCCCTTTAGGGAAAATTTTTCGTAAAATTTCACTCGTCGTTCAGTAACTTGCAATTTTTTTTCTCTGATTTTCTGGTAAATATGACTGCGTTGTAAATTTTATTGCGAATTTTTCAACGCGTGAATATCTTGTCGGAAATTTCTTTTTTTTTTTATTCTAATTGGGGATTTAATCAAATAGAATTGAATTTACAATCGATTTTCAAGTTATCGTAATTCTAAAAAAAAAACGCCATTTAAATTAGAATAAAAAATTCTTATTCAAATTTTTGAAAGATTTTCCAAAACCTTTCCCAGAAATAAAATAGTCTTGTTTCCTGATTTTTTTTGTTTCATAAAAAAAAAATTCTGCAAAGTTTTCCAGAAATTGAAAATTTGAAAAAAATATTTCGATTACAATTTTTTTTTTACCCGGGCCCAGTAATTATCGGATGTATATTTTTTTTCGTGGAGATCACTACAATTACGTAAATTGTTTCGTTATTTATTTTTTCAATTTTTTTGTTTCTGTTGTACTTGAATGTTCGATAGTGGCAATGACACTCTGTAAAACGTGTGCATTCTGTCCTGAAATTTCCAATACTTCCAATGAGGCATTCAAATCCATCTTGCCACGAGAATTACGCCAGTACAGTAAAACCCAATGACATGGGGGGG